AAGTCAGTTTAAAATGGTCGCCAATTTGGCGACTTATGGAAAAAAAATTGACGCCAATCAAAAATTTAAGGCGCCATGGCGACTAAATTAGTCGCCAATAAGATCCCTGAAGGGAATTAATTTAGTTGCATAAATCAGCATCGGTATAAGCATAATAAGCATCAGGTAGCATCAGGATCAATATTTTAAAAACAGCATTACCAGGATCATGCAGCATCACCTACCATTGACCATCTAAAAATCAGCATTGACTTACTATCTAGCATCAGAATATCAGTTTTTTTTCAGTAACGAATTTTTAATAGAGAAAGAAAATTGGTTTAAATTATTTAAATTATCAATTATAATGAAATATTATGATCAAATTCTTATATGAGGCACTTTTATTGCTTCAAACAGCCATGCTGAAATTCAATTATCTACTTCTGGTAGCATGATGATACTTCCGGTAGCATTGACCTAATAATTAAACGGTATCATGATAAGGATTACTAGCATTAGATCAGCAAGCAAAGGAAGCATTCAATTCAGCATCGATGCTGTAACAAAATTAGTTCTCTGCACTGTACTTTGAATCGTTATCAAGCCTTTATAAAGACTTGGAAAAACGAACAATCCATACTCACAAAAACAAGACACCTTCTTCCCACATATGTTATAAAGAAACTATTAAAAAATATCTCCAAATAAGTGATAACCATGGGTATATTTGGAATGCATTTTAAATGCTGAAAAATGCCGAAAACTGCTCAATGTTTACTAATGATAAGTGTAACATGATCAAACACAATCAACAACTCAAGAAAAGAATAAAAATACTTGAACTCAAGTAATTAGGTATTGGCAATATTATTTTTAAAATAACTTTCATGGTTGCCATGAAAACACAGTTTAACTGTACACTATTTGTAGCTAAGTTTTAGCCAATGCTACTATCTTGAGGGAAAACATTGAAATTCAGGACTGACAAATATACATCGTTAGGACCTGGTATCACAGATAGTATTAGAAAAATTTGGATAAATTGGTACTTTGCGGTGCAACCATGGAAACAACGTACCATTGGTATCAAGCGAGATTTTTTTTTGCTTTATGAATTTAGTTATCTGTTACTCAAGAAATATATTATTTGACTCACCTTGAATAGTACTTATCTGATAGAACTAAATTGGATAGTCATACATTGATAAAGTTTGATGAAGAAAATAAAATTGTTGCTATGGTAACTAAGTAGGGAAAATATTCAATTTTGTAACTTAATAGCAATATTAAACCCCCTATGCCAGCTTCTTGCATCCAGTTGGAGATCGTGTGATAATCAAAATTGAAAGTCAGTTTAATTTTTCATAAATATCAATCATGAAATTTTCGGGAATCTAGAAACAAGGGTACTTATCTAAGAAAACAATATATTTCATAGCTTTTTATAATATTCATAGCAACGCCCTATTTTAAGAATCCAGTTTGATTTTTTGTAATGTGAAAAGTAGGACCACATAAGTGCCTTTACATGTAAAAATTGATCACCAGTTCTTAAGATATATATGCTTTTTTAAAAAAAAGAAGAAGATAGGATCAGTTTAAACATACAGAGAATAAATTTGAAATCATTTTGCGGTTATAAAACCGCAGCAACCATTGCAAACTAATAAGAAATATTTCGTCCTTGGTATATGTTACAAAAATCTCTCTCTGTTATTTGGTCGCATGTCAACCTATAATTGCTTTTATTTATGATTGTATGAGTTTATAAAAATAAATGAATAAAATTATTACATTTGCATACTTTGTTTCCATAGTAACGTATGTAATATTTGATTTCCCAAAAATATTTATCATGCATTTAAGACAAATTTTGGAAGCAGTCATTGCCACGTGTTTGCAATGTTGCAAACGTTAACTATTGGATTTTGAACATGTTAAAAAATGAAATTTTTCAAACTTTAGGCCATGTTGCCATGGTAACCATGACACATAGCAACCAATTTTTGCCTGATATGAGCTTATGGTATTAAAGACTTTCATCATAGAAAGCTTAGAGAAATTCTGAGACTATGTGTCCAGCTCCTTAACAAGAATTAAAGTAATAACAGAGAATGGCTCTTAAGTTATAATCACTATTTTCCTTTCTATACGTTCCGAGACGCCTGAAATAGATCAAATCAAATAAGTTTATAAGATATATTCAATGATAGATGTAGTAATATTAGGGTGAACTATTGCAAAAACTTATCCTTTTGATGCCTTTAAGGTAAGACGACACGTTCCTTTAAAATATATATTTTTCACAAGAATTTGTCATTGAAGTATTGCTACTTAAACAAGTTTCCTCACCAAAAATTGAGGTACCTTACCAGGCATTTTGGCAAGATACCAGAGGGTGATATTTCTTATATAATCCTTATGGATAATCTTTTGAATTGCCAATGTCACAATTTTTGGTATACTTATTTTATATAACATATTGAAAACAATTTAGAAATCACAAGAGAATGACAATTATGAATAATTTTTGATATAATACTGTACCAAGGTATACAAAACATATCTTTGAGGAACGTGTCGTCTGACCTTAAGCTAACTAGTTACTAAGTACAAGGCTATCTAACATATATTTATATACTTATGTTTGAACTGTGTTCCATAGGCAAATTAATAAGAAATGTAAAGAACATCCTTTCTGAATTCTTGTGCTCAACTTTCTACTTAAGAACAGGATGTATAAGTATTTTTCAAGTATGTTACACATGTTACTTGTAGACATATGTCCAATTCTTTTAATGCTTTAAGGTGGCTGAATATACTGCTCTGCTCTATTGAGATGATAAAAAGGAAAGGTCCCAGTTTCGATATTTTAAATTGAAAAGAGAGCGCTTGAAATCATCCTCAAATTCCACAAAATAAAGTTCAATGGATTATATTTAAGTTGTTTTAAAAGATTGTTAAAAATGCTTTTGATGAAAGTTGCCCGTCAACAATATCAAATTATAGGTTTTCATACTGAAGCAATAAGTACAAAACATGTTGCTTGACGACGTCTAAAATCTCAGGGTTAACTGCATCTCGCAAATAAGATGTAACATCTGGGTATAATATGCCATAATATGCATAATATGAAATTCCCAAGGTATTATGTTTAATAAAGAAATGTTGCTTGTTAACAAAAATAATACCTTATCATAATCATCCATGCATAATAAAAGACATGTCAAAAATAACTCATATATAGGCCATTGTAAAATGCCACAAGGAGAAAATGAAGTCAATTTTAGAATATCTGTGATTTTATGTTTTCATCCAAAGTATCATGAAAAAAAATTGAATTCCACATTGGTAAGATTATATATATATTTTTATTATTAGCTATTTAATATATCAATTTTATGGATATATTGCATGTAGTTGAGTGTAATACTGAAAATGTTCACCCCAAGAAAACCATTGTCAACCGCAACCGATGTTGACAATGGTTTTCGAGGGGTAAAAATTGTCAATGTCAAACTCAACTACATGCAATATTTATTATATTATACTGAACGTTTTATATAAATACATATTACGGTGAACATTGCGCGCATAAATTCTGTGCAGTCAATATTTTTTTGGAATATCACCCGTCGTCAAGCAATATTAACTGTTGCTACGCTGGAGGACGTAGCTTCATTATTCAGCGGGTTATAGTGTTTTTTTAATAAATGTTTTTTCGACGAATCAGATTAAACTTTACATGAAAGTATAATATATTGATATATCAATACATAAATATAATCAAGTTTTATGTACTCATTATTAGCATGAATTTCATCATCGTTATCATGTTAAATTTTGACAGCAGGGTGTAGCATCATTTGGAGAGATGTTGTACATTTTATTAATCTGACCGTTAGTCATAATCATTAATTATTGTCCTTAAATTTTTAAAAACACAATTAATTTAAGGGGTCCGACAGGAGTTTTTCATTGTGCAATACTTCTCGCAGCAGCAAGCTTATTTACACTTTGAAAACAACTATTTTCGAATAATTTATCAAATTAATCAAATATAAGAAATCACAGGTTAAAAGATCTTATTGCAACATTAAAAAACTGATCTTTTTTACTATATTTCATCTGGTAGATAGATGGACATGGTTTTAGTGTGTTTGACGTTATGATAAAATGAAGGCTTTTAAGAAAAGGTCATAAAAATGTTATAGAAGGTAAAGTATGAAATACATGTATATGCTCATGAAATTTTAAACACAGAGTTTGAAAATAAAAAAAAATTCTAATAGTTTTTGTATGACTCATAAGTATCTGTCATATTTTTTAGAACTCCATAAAAATTGGTAAAATTGGTAAAATTTTATATTTTGAGATTTTGTCCCCACTGAAAACCCGACGATAGAATTTCTTGCTTCTTTTATATAATGTACAATATACTATAACTCGTATATATTACAGTTTAAACAAAACGTCTATTGTAGTATTTGTAAATTTGCTTTGAAATGCAAAAAACTAGCACTTTCCCATATAATCCTACAGTAACTGTATCTGAATTGTGAGACGGTCCTTAAAAATATCCAGAAAATATCCAGACGATAAATTTTTCCCTAAACTCGGCATGTATACTAAGGTCAATGTAAGTTACACAAGATATAAAATTGAAGAGTTTTCTGTTGTACTTTTCACATAATATAAAAACCAGTTGGCTACCTTAATTTTCATTTGGCCTCCGAGCAAATTTTAAATTTGCAAAATGTATGTTATTTCTCCATGTGTGTTGATTTAATTTTGTTGCCCCATGCTAGTAAATAAACACGTGTAGGCACAATTAGTTCATTCAAAATATTTATGCACAATTATGTTTGTTTCTCATATTCTTTTCATAGACTCTGCGTAAAAATGCTTCATGGCCTACACTGAGCTCAAGAAGATATCTGTGATGGATAATAAGAAAAAATTGTATTCAATCAGTTGTTAGAATTATAAAATTCTGCCTTTATCCTGACTTATCTTACATTGTATAGATCCTAAGATACCGGACAACATAGGGGTTTCATGAGAGCATTTTTCCGTATATCAAAACCCTTCGAAATTTGGCTGGTATAGGTACCTAGAAATAGAAAGGAAAAATCTTTAGAAGGTGACATAGAAAACGGAAGAAGAAAAGGAGAAAAAAAGCAAAAAAATGTCTTTTGTGCATTCTTCTGGTTCGCACGACCCCTGCGCCGTGACCTTCAGACAAGGAAGGGTTAATCCAGATGCTCATTTTGTAGGACATTCTTAATGCAGGTATCTATTAATACATGGGTTCAGTTTATATATTGAGGGGGGGGGGGGGGGCACTCTCTTCAGGCCTCAGGATCATCAGGTAACAGAATTGTACATAAGTCAAATGTTTAATCTACTATAAAATGTATATTATTTGTTGAATTAATTTCTAAATTTGATAACAACACTTTTGTGAATCAGTTCTGAAATATTTTAATTTTAGACTGCTGGACTTCTACAACATTTTAGTTCAATATAAAGATTTTGACTTAAGCTTAAGATGTTTCAGGATCATTCTTTAAAGTTTTTAGTCGTTCGAAGTGCATTGATTAAAAAAAACAAAAAAAAAAAAAACAAACAAACAAACAAAAACAAAAACCAAAAAAAAAAAAAAAAAAAAAAAAAAAAAAAAAAACACAAAAAAAAACATGAATATCCGTATTAATAGGTTACTTGTCAAATATCGTGCAGTGTTTAAAAAGTGTATATGTAAAAAAAAAAAATGAGTATCAGAACATTATTTTTAATAAATTACCCCCATGTTAAGTTTTGATCTAACGTATGAATGCCCTACCTCCGGCTGCAGGGGCTTTCACCTGATGACAGAAGAAATTTTTTTTTCCAGCAATTAAAACGTTTGTCTGACTTTTTCTTTCATATTGAGCTGATTGTAAAATGTGAACAGATTTTTTTTCCTCTTTGGAAGTGTGAGAAAATAAACTGACTTCGATTTTTTTTTTTTTTTTTAGGAAATTAATATAATCCTTAATATCATGCTTCCACTTTTAATGGACATGGCGTCGTGCATAATTCTGAACATCCATAGACGTCGGCTAAATGTATTATTACATTTATATTTTCAATGCAATTAATTGATCATTATTATCATTGTATATATACAGAGGAAAGGAGTTTCTAAGTTTAAAGAATTTGTATCCAATTCCCATTTCTAATTATGCAAACAAACAAAAAATGTTCTAAACAAATATTTTTAATGAATAAAATGATTCCCAATGATACTATCAGTTCTTCGATTTTTTTCTCACAAAACGCCTTCTGTTATCCGCGCCTGACACACTTTGCAAAAAGGAGGTAACTCCGTTTCTGTTTACAACTATTTTTAGAATGATAACGGGATATTTTAATAGATTCTAATGTGTGTACATAAAATAAACTTTTTACGCATTGTTTAAAACAGATATGTTCGTCTTGAAAGCAAAAGTCAGTACATGTACATGTAAACAGGACGACGCTGTTTGTGAATGAATATTAAAATGAATATCGGAATTCTTTTCCATATATATTATATATATTCCTATGCGTACACGTAAACAATTTATAAAAACATGTAAATAGAATTTGACGTTTTTTTTTCTTTCTCGCTAGCAACTCGATCAGTTTTTTTTCAATTAATAATATTTCTATCTGTGCATAAACAATGCGCTATATGTTAATGTAATAATATAATCAGTGCTTAGGAGAAATTATTCATAGATATGTGACATGTTAACGCTGGTCTTCAATTCCATAAGATAATATAGATTTTAAAATTTTAACTATTTTTCACAATTATTAAAGTACATGTTTTTTTTTGTTTTGTTTTTTTAAATTATTTGTTCATAAATATTCCTCCGTTTATCTTACGTATTTGTTTTATTTAAACTGTCAAATTAATAATTTATGAAACTGCTTTCGGATACTGGTACGTAATAATAGATGAAATTCTTATCATGTACTTATGAAGTACAAAACTAATTTGATTTAAGAAACAGGTCACAACGTCCAATAATTTCAGTTCAAAAACATGATAAGCTCAGAGAAGTTTTGTCCCTTTTTTGCCTCTATTGGTCCATGGCCTTTAGAGGCAAAACCGAAATACTCTTTGTGTACCAATAGAGGCAAACGAAAAATATATATGTCTTATATATTTTAATTATAAGGTTATTTTTCGATGATATTTAGTATATATATTTAAAATTGCTTATTGTAACATATAAAAGCTCACAAAAGCAGTAAAACACATCCTTTTCATAGAAAATACAATGTCGTCGCTAATGGCACACACAGACGCTCTCGGCGCTAATGGCACAGATTCGGTAATATATATATATATATATATATATATATATATATATATATATATATATATATATATATATATATATATATAATTGTTAATTGATAATACGTCGTCGGTATATCTAAATGTCGAGTTGAAGACCACAAGTTTTTCCTCTTCTCATATATAAGATTTTGAATAAATTCTGCTTCATAAGAATACAAATATAATTCTGCTAATAATTGGGCGCAATTGGTACCCATGGAAATTCAGACAGATTTTTGGAAGACCTGGTCTCCAAAAACTACATAGATATTGTCAATCAGAAACTCAATCTTTTTAATGTCAACTTCAGAGTACTTGTGTGTACAATCAGAATGTTATTTAACAAAACAATGTTGCAAATGACCAACGACAAGGTCAGTAAATTTTCGAGCTCTATTTTTATTGAAAAAGCAGCTGTCAAAGTTGTTAAAAAGCCTGGACTTTAATTTATCGTAGGGGATGTTGTATAAAGTGTTGAAAAGTCGTACGTTTTGATGTTACTGATTGTAGTAAAATTTTGTGATTTCAAATTTTCTGAAAGTTCCTTGGAATTTTGCGTATCCACATCTGATTTACACCACTTCTCGAATATATTATTTTACAATACTCCTGAAGTTTTGAAATGGAAATATTTTGGCTACTATTTACCAGTGATATTGAAACACTTTTTTGGTTCGAAATTTTTACAAGTATATTGTTTTAAGAACAATAAATGACCAAACTATATATAATTGTGTGAATCTTGAGGAATATGATGTGATAAGGAAAATGCTATTCATTCATATGGCATTTGCTTTCTTTGACAAATAACCCCCCCCCCCCCCCATGCTTTAATACAATACAATAAAAATATCATCATACAATGTAAATAACTATATGATGAATTTGAAATGTAAGTGTACAAGTTCGTAATCCTCAATAATGACCACACTGTACTGTAAAGGTAGATATACATACCTTGTAATATGTACTGTAGTTTGATTTGTCAGCATCTATAAAAATCAAATCAAATTCCATCTTTTTGTCAGAGAGTTTCTTCAAAGAATCTTTCGCAGGACCTGTTGCAAAAGAATTATTGACTATAATTACAGTGTATATTAATAATTATTAAAAGCATTAATGTTTAATTCTTTTAAACATACGTTGGAATTAATTGAAACTCGTCTGTATTAATTTTTTAAGCAAATTATTCAGCGCAATAGTTCATATGTGTACTTCAGCATTGATTTGTTGAATCACCTACCCCCCCCCCCCCCTCCCCACTTTTAATATTTGTCCAAGCACGTGTCATAACTAAAACGGTTCAAAAATTGGTACAATAATGTGAATCACTTTCAAAATGGTAGTGTAATATTATGGGACCTTATGCATTCAATCTAGTAGATGTAATTCTTACCAAGCATAATATCAACTTTCTTTCCAACAGATGATTTTTCCAATAGTGATCTTGCAAGTTCTGCTATGTATGGTTCCATTTCGCAGGACACAACTTTCCCACCATCTGGAAGTGCTTCTGCAAATGCCAAGGCTGAGCATCCGGTAAAAAGTCCCAGCTCCAGAACCCGACTAACGTTCCCAATGCTCACAAGCGATTTTAAAAACTGACCTGAAAAATAAAACCAACCCCAAAAAACTCTTAACTCTTTGCTATCTTATTCATACAAGAGGAACTCTTGGTTTGCAAGTACACAGACTGAAGAGAAATCCAAATGTCTATTTTCCTCGTACTTCCGCCCAAGGAAAACATTATATGCTGTGGAATGTCATGAATTTCCAGAAAAAATTAAAAGTGATTTGAAAACAATCTAGTTAAAAAAATTGACGTTCAAAAATTTCCCAACCGAAGCAAAAAATATATGTGACAATAGCCAGTTAGTGCTCATCAGCGTACATTTATGTGTTTGCATGGATCTGACGTGAGCAAGATATACTGATGGCGCATGCGTACTTTACTCTGTTACTACTTGTGCTTAATCAATCATTGTGTACCGGTACTTTTGTGCTAGACAATTTTGCGCACGACTTTAGAGGAAATTCTAACATTTCTCAAGTTTTGCCATTAGTAAATAATTTTATCGTATATATTTTATGATATAATATACACGTAGATGTCGTGAATATTTGATAAAAATACCTTCTATATTTCCAGAAAGCATTATTGTATTGGGATGGTAGGTCAGCTGTCCATCCTGGTAAGCTTTTTTCCAGGGATGGCATTGTGTGCTGTCCATTAAATACTGAAGCTCCTCGCTTGCTGTTGAAGTATGGTTTTCACAATAGTCCATGCGTGCCTGTACAGCGAAAATATAATATAGTGCATCATTATCTTAATTAATTTCTTCTATATTTTTATTAGACCATCTTAGAAAAAAAATGTTTGATTGCCCTCTCCCGACCGACTAGTTAAAAATGACCCAACTCAAAATGTTTTTATGACCTCCAGGAAGCAAATATTTTTTATGCATTCCGTAAAATAGATTTTCAAAATTTAGCATTGATATTGAAAGTTTCTGGGAGAAAAAAATTTCTCACTTACCTACCGACCCAATTTTTTTATCCTTAATCGGAAGAGGGTAAACAAGCATTATTTTAAAGTTTGCCTTACGCGTAATAATTTGTAAAGGTTGATCCATTGATCTTTTTTTCTGTACAGACACGCATAAATGCGTTTGCTTGAAAACATGGAATGTATTTCAGAACTACCAGATATCAAAAAGTGAATGATGGATACTGAAAGATTATCTCCCTTTTTAAATTTTGTTTTTATTTTATGTTTTTGTTCCTTGTTTCTTTCGGGGTTTTTTTCTTTGCTTTTATTTATTGTTTTTGATGCACAACAAAGTTTTTTTTTTATTATTTTATTTTATTTTGTTAACTTATTTAGCCTGAAAGCTCAAGCTCAAGTGAGCTTTTCTGATCATCCTTATCCGGCGTCCGTACCATGCCTGACTGTCTATCTGTCCGTCTTTAAAGGTTTCTTGAGACTACTACTTGAGAACCACTAGCCCAACTAAGAGCAAAGTAAGCACAAGGCATCCTTAGGTAATGTGGATTTTAAATTGTTCACTGAAGTGCCAAGCCTACTTAAAGCCTCCAAGAGGAGATAATCAAGAAAAGACAGAAATAGGGTGGGGTCATAAAAAATCTTCTCAGCCACTGGACCAGAAGAGATGAAACGTTCGTAAAAAATTGAAATGTATCAGAAAAAACTTTTAGTTATCTTCTCAAGAACTACTGGACCTGCAAAGTTCCTGAGATAATGTAGATTCTTAATTCTTCCAATTATGTTCGCAGGGGAAGGGGCACGATAAGGGATCAAAGTTTTACATGGGGATATACTGAAGAAATCTTCAGAATTCTTCCTCTCAAGAACAACAAACAGCAGACGTGAATATGTGAATGCTTCCTGACATAACGTAGATTCTAAATTGTTCAGATCAAGTCACTAGGGGGTAGAGCGCGAGGCCACAATTGTATATCAAAGTTTTACATTGGATTAGGTGAAACATCCTCTACAAAAGAACCATTATTTTGCAAACATTTCCATGTTGTGTGGATTCATTTTTTTTTTCAAATGATAGACTGTAAATTAAACTTGGCAAAAATTCTGACCAAGGTTAAATAATGCTTGTATACAGGGAAAACATTCTTTTCCATAACTGCAAGATCATATTAGTCATACTCAAGTTGAAGCATTCCCATTTTGTATGGATTTATAATCTCATTAAGTGTGAGGCCATAATGTGGGGTAACAATTTTTCATCGGAATAAGGAGGAGAATTTTTTTTAATCATAACAAGGGGCCCATGGGCCTCATCGCTCACCTGTGCACACTGGCTCTAAAGAAGCAGAAATCAGTTTAGCATTAAATGGGGGAGGGGGCAAACTTAAATTTATTCTACCTCAGGATGCATCCATATCAATATTGGCCCTGCCCTACCCCCAGGAGTCAGGATTGGAACAAACTTGAATCTACAACACCTGAGGATACCTACTTTATGACTTATCACGGCTTTGCTGTTCTCGAGAAGATTTTAAAGGACATTTCCTATATATTCCTATGTATAACTTTGACCTCCTCTTGTAGCCCCGCCCCACCGGGGATTATGATTTGAACAAGTTGAATCAAGAGTATGTAATGAAGCTTTCATAAAAATTTCATCTCTTCTTGCCCAGTGGTTCTTGAGAAGAAGATTTTCAAAAGATGCCACAAAATTTTCACGAATTCTTAGTTATCTCCTCTTGAAAGAGTGTGTGTTCTTCCTGTGAACAAACTTGAATCCCCTTCTACCAAGGTTGCTTTGTGGCAAGTTTGGTTGAAATTGGCCCAGTGGTTCTTGAGAAGAAGTCGAAAATGCGAAAAGTTTACAGACGACAGGCGACAAACTGACGCCGGACACTCTTTGATCAGAAAAGCTCACTTGAGCCTACGGCTTAGGTGAGCTAAAACCACTAGGATTTTAGTTCTTCAGGTGAGCGTTGTGCCCCGTAGGCTCTTTCTTTCTTTTCTTGTTTTGAAACACAAATCAAACTAAAATCAACCTCTAGTCCTCGCAACAAAATAATAGAACATAGTTTCCTGCCATGTTCTTACATTTGTTATTATTCACTTGCCTCTGATAATTGGATAATCTTATCGATCTCCGCTGTTAGTTCAGATGAAACCTTTTCACTTTTCGCCATGCCCCGTAATTTCACTAAATGTCTGTATGCTGGGTCCATATACATATATCTGTATCCCCCAGTCTCCATTTTTTTTAATCTGTGAATAATTTTCTTGGGGAATTGCTGATTATGGAAAAATCCAAATCGTTTGATATTCAGTTATTATACGCACAAAGCAAAATTGCTTTGCAGTTTGTACATCGAAAAAAAAATCCAGATTCACAAAATCACTTTGATATACACAGATTTCTTATAAACATTATTCTGTAGTATTAATATATTACAGTCACTGAGTACGTGTTACGTCTGTTCGGACTGGTTATTTTTTGTCTGATAACCCAATGGTTTTCTCAGACTACGAATGTTCTGTTTTATGTTCTCAATATTTAAAGCCTTGACATTGCAATTTCTCTGCACTTAAAGAAATATGATACTTGGCAGCTCAGCATTCATGATATTATATAATAATTGCCGTTTATATGCTAATTATACGAACAAAATGTGTATGTTATCGACTAACCAAATGCACTTTTAACAATCACCGCGTTACATAATCGTAACAATTTGCTTTCCGCATAACTTATTACTTGATGTTTATATGTACCCTAGAACGTGCTACAATACCACTTGCACTGTGCGGTTCGTTTCGCTTCTTGCACGGTACGTCTCGTTTTGTGAACCGTACGGTTCGTTTTATGAAATGTACGATTCGTTTTGTCTACGGTACGGAGCGCTTCTTGCACGATATGCATATCAAGTGGTCGGAGACTGTACGCTTTAGTCTACGATTGGCTGCTTAATAAATAAGTCGTTTAATATAAAATGTATGTATATTTTTTTAAAAAAAATCTTTATTTCATACTAACAAAACGACAGTGTCGTTAGCATTTATTAAAGGAATTGTTCTCAAGTTAAAGCAGTCGTGTACATGACCTTTTTCATGTGCATCTGTATTTTCGTTATTAACAAGTTTTGCTACATATATATATATATATATATATATATATATATATATATATATATATATATATATATATATATATATATTAATTTAAAATCTGAATCAACTAGTTTCCCTATGTACTTTCAGTCGTCCCTATATTTATTATTTCAATTTATACACAATTGCCTAATGATTCATTTTTTTTGGAAATGAATTGAATAAATCCTTTTACATTGTATGAAAAAAAATGAAGAAAATAAAAAAAAGAAAGATATTTTGCCATACCGACCTCTCTGTATACTTAATAAGCATGCATATGAGTAGATTTTCTTTTTGTTTTAACTAAACATAAAAATGATTATTGTTTTACATTTTCATTCATTACACTTGTAAATAATAAATCTATTATTAGTATTTTTTCCCCATGCTTTTATTTCGTTTACTGTTGCTTCATTTAAAAAATTAAAACTAAGTTTTCTTTGCTAAATGATCAAACAAACAATACAAAAATATTTAGTGGTTTTTTTTTACGGTGAGCACTTAAATGTAGATTTTTTTCCCCCATAGATGACGTATATAAATCGGTTGCAGTATTGTGTTAAATTTTTGATGTCTTTGAAACACGTTTGATTTAAATTTTATAATTTACAGAAAAGTCCTATCTTTATATGAAGCAATAAAACAAATAGAAAAGATCTGTTTTATTTTGCTATTGCTTATCTGAACTTATCAAAAATACGCCATATAAGGCTTTAATCATTTAATCCATCGTTAGATGTTTGACACTAGAGAACTATACAATGAAAAAAAGTATTATTTTCATTAACAGCACATAATTGATGTAAAATTATATTACTTTAATTATTTTTTTCGCATGTATTTGTTTATTATATATACGAGTATAATATATACGAAGGTTGTCCGTAAAGTTCGTGGATAGTGACGTTTGTGTCAAACTGAATGGTCCTAGATATACCTACTGTATATTATTTATTATGAAAATCTAAGTCATAATGGTTTGGATTCGATTGTTTGAACTTAACAATTTTGTAAAAGATGCGGTCTTTAAAGGCCGCAGATAGTGCGCATGGTCCAGGGTTAAAATGTCAAAAACAATGAAATAAAGTTTTCGGATTAAAATGATTATTTTCTTCATAAAACAAGCCAAAAAGTATTAAAAATTAAGTGTCTCAAAGAAAGCGGTTGTCGTCATTTTCTCATATATCTTTAACTGACATAACTTATTGTCTAGGTAGTGGAAATATTCAGAAAAAAAAACCCCGCAAGAAATACATGTATGTTTCAAGACTTGACAGAAAAAGCAACGTCTGTCATCTGCATGGAACAGCGTCCAATCATAAAATTGTTTTAATATATAACAGCTGTATAATGATTGAACCGGCGTCGGAGACAAACTACTAGTAATTATTTAAACAACTGGAAATTTTTGGAATATATTAAATTCATTGATTTGTTATATAGGTATGTACGATTTTTCGACGGTGTGCACAATTTGAGAGACACTACAAGAAGCGGGAAACTACTGTTATTTGATAAAATTAGGATATTTTTATTCATGTCGTAATAAATCTAGCTCAACGTTAGATGGCTCTTCAGCATGTACATAAGTTGTTTACACTGATTAAGCTCGTAAATTTTGTTATGATGGGGTTGAAAGGTTGGTGATGACAGTTGAGAGGTTGATGATGGGAGGGGGGTGGATTGGTTGTGGTGGGAGTTGAGACATTGGGGATGGTAGTTGAGCGATTGGTAATAATCTTTCGTGAGAAGTTGATGATAGGTGGAGCGAGGTGTTGGTGATGATGGAACTCGAGAAGTTGGTGATACTTGGATTAAGAGTTTGGTGGGGGTTGAACGGTTGGTGAAGGGGGGCTTTGTGATGGAGAGGTATATAAAGTTGGTGATGATGGGGTTGAACGGTCTGGGATGGTGGGGATCGACAGATGGGTGATTTTCAGTGTATAGGTCTAACATGAACTGATAGAAAAACATGATTAATATATCTTACAATCGTAAAATATTACACAAAAATTGTAATGCATGAAAAATTTATTTAAAAAATTATATAAAATACTAGACGACTATAAAGAATAAATTGTATAAATATACTCTACTTGCTATCAAAAAGGACTTGAAATAATGAATTGAAAAGTACTAGTTCAAAAAATAATATTGCATACATATGAGAAAAAAAAAAACTCGAACCTAAAATAAAGACCAATCTCTTGATATGTGAACCCAAAATAAAATGAAATTATTCAGGTATGAACAAAGTTCTGATAAACCTGAGTTTAACAAACAGGTCTTTAAACAAATGTCATACTTGAAGAATTAGAATAATTATTTAACAATCATATTTAAAATCAAGACCTCTTTTTCACCAGCATGCAAAACATCAATGTATCATATTTGTACAAAAATAAAATGAAATAAAAACTTAATAGATTAAGTAATGTATCAAAAATGTTTTAAAGTACCTCTAACAGAAGATCTTTAAACACAAAAATAAAATATATAAAAAAAATAGGACGTCAAAAAAATGGACATTTACAACTGGATATATATTTATTATATATATATATATATATATATATATATATATATATATATATATATATATATATATATATATATATATGACAGATCTCAAGAGTGGTATATTTAAAATCTTAGCTCCATATATACATGTACTAGTTTGTGAGAAAAAATATAAAGAAAAAAAATAATGCCATTTGAAATTGTGAGAAAAATACATAGAACAATGCCTTTATTTCTCCCTGAGACAAAAATTGCGTTTACACATAAAAAAAAAATCTAAATATCACTATATCAAAATGGATAAAATTCAAAATAGGTTAAATCAACATCTGTATCAAAACCAAAAATACCTTTTAATCAACTCCAAGATTGAAAATTAAAATATAAGTGACGGCAAGGTCAGCTTTGCTTCTACTTTTACTTGCTCCAACATATCACGTATTCTATTCATATTTGCGTATAAATTCATCTGAAAAGTTAACCTTGAATTAAATATGCTACTCTCCTCTCTTTTTGAGTATATTGGAAAATCCCGCCTTACCACACCCACGCTTCTCAAAAGTAAATCTGTATTACAAATTACTTTCATAATCTGCTTCTGTAACTTTTTAATCTCTCCATTTACATACTTAAATGGTATGGAAAAGGAGGGAGGGGCAACATTTAGAGCGTCTTCGAATTCTATACTCGTCATGTCGAGAAGGGCGTAGATTTTGACTAGAAACTCATATATTTCCTGGGTTCGATTTTCAGCGGTAATCTGGAAAGAAAAAAAGTAGCATTTAAGTCACTTTGACGAGAAAACAGTGAAATATGGGATCCAATATAGAACAATAGAATTAAAAGCTTCAACAGAGAGAAGTCTTTCACCCCCCCCCCCCCAACAAACCTGTATGTCATACGAAATATAATTGTCATTGAATGAAATAAGTATGTGAAACTCGAATAGCATTGCGCGTTGGCAGTTGTAAATTTAACGGAGACAAATTTTCGCAAACCGTTCTTACATTGTTTCTTTTTCTCTCCATGTACCTCACTGCATTCAAGAACTCGACAATTTAATTTTTTAAACCTATCTGTGACCATCAAACGACCTTAATGATTCAGTATATCTCAAGCAAACCACCAGTCAATAAAAATTTTGCTAGCGTTCTCGAGCGTTATCTTTTTTACTGGAGTACACATGCTCGAATTCATGTAAGGGCATTCTGGGAATAGATAAATTGTAACGTTTCCGTTCCGTTTTATCATCTCTCGAAATAGTCTAGCCCAACCAGACGTAGTCAGAGTTTACGGAGACAGCCGAGCGTCCGGTTGAACAAGACTATACTCCCGAAAATACAAATAATCTTAAGTTTCGTGTTTTGTTGTCTTACCTGTACAAAACTGTACATAACAGTAACATAGGTCCAAATATGCCAAGGCTGTAGCTATCAGTTATTTCTAAATTATAAAGAACTCGCCTTTAAAAAAAAATAATCGGCTATAAAGAACTTTTTAGGAATCCCGTAGAAGACTTTTCACTTTGTTCCTTCAACTGATATAAAAAATTTGGGTCATAAGGATGAGAGAATTCAACTTCCTTTTAACCAAGTTAAATACTGTACACCCTTAAAAAAATCTGCCACGCCTCAGGCACAATCTATGGAACGAATGCATATGCATAACGAGAACAGAGGGCTACTAGCATTAATTTGGTGTAACACACTAGTTTAGGGAACAAAATTTACTCATTTTTTAAATATATTTTCCGGAACGAAAATACAGTGAAATTTTATATATCCTTCTGTGGAGTTTTTGTACCATTAATTAAGGAATGAATTTAATAGCTACCCAATTTATACGGTATAGAGTGGGTTGGGGCAGTTTATGCTTTATAAATCGCGAAGAGGTTTATAATAAAAAACTGTTCCAACCCACTTTATACCGTATAAATTGTGTAGCTATTAATTTCATTCCTTATAATTTATACGGTATAAAGTGGGTTGGAACAGTTTTTTATTATAAACCTCTTCGCGATTTATAAAGCATAAACTGCCCCAACCCACTCTATACCGTATAAATTGGGTAGCTATTAAATTCATTCCTTAATTAATGGTACAAAAACTCCACAGAACGATATGATAGATTACATACAGGAAGAAGGTACTTAATAAGCTTCACAAATACATTGTAGTAGACAAGAATTTACCTCGCTGTCTAGTGGAAACTTCGATACACAGCCATGATCACTTATAACATTCAATAACTCGGAATTTTTGGCCAGCTGATACTTATCAACCTGTAAATAGAATTTTAAATACATCAGTAAAATCAGTGTGTGTTTTTTTGTTCCTTTTTGTTTTGTATTTTAATTCGATTTATATTATACAGTAAATGAGCTATGCAGTTCTAAATTTTAATATTTTGCCATTTGGAGAAAAAATGAGCTTACAGTTTAGATAGTTATCAAAAGATTACTTACTATCTCTGATCGTAACATTCCAGCTTTATATTCAATATCAATTAACCTTTCTAGAATACGCCGCCCTAATTTATTCAAGTAGGCTTGGTCTAAGACACCGGGATGACATGAATTGACTTTAAAACCATAAATCCTAGTTTCACTTTCATTTTTAACATTGGATACTGTATCCAAGGTAAGCAGATGACAAATGCCCAATTTATCCGTTTGCGAATTAGTGGTATTCGTCGCAGTAGTTGGATTAAACCGCTGGTCTTCTTTCATGCTTGTCCTCAAACTAAAATGGTTCTCGGATGTGATGGCAGAATGCGCATGCGTCACAGTTTGAGGTGAAATATCGTCGGATTTAAGCGGTGATAAACTAGAGTTTTGAATAGGTTTTAGGTTTTCTTGTGTTCCACTATTTTCCATAGACAAAAAATAGCTCGTAGAGGCTGGTGTGACAGTCGTGATTTGTATTGATTTGTGACCAAATGACGTAGATCTTATAACCCGTCTTTCATTCGTTTCCTTGTCCTCTTCTGTTTCCTTTGCTGTTGGTGTTTCATTGGAAATAGTGCTTGACAATACATTGCTTCTTTCGAATTCCAAAAAATCTTCATCCAGACTGGTATCTTGTTTTTCAATATCGTCCGTATTGGGTATTTTCTTGAAGACTTCCTGCAGCAGAATCAACAGTTGAAGTGCGATTTTGCGGATGCTTTGAACTGTTGTTGTAAGAATTTTGAGAGGTTCTTGTTCCGAGTGAAGTTCGCCGATGTTCATTTGACTCGTTCTAGCTTGAATGTTGTTATTTGATACCGACTTTGATATGTTTGGGTTGCTTTTGTTGTCGTCGAGTACACTCGTGTTATCCTTTGGTAGTTGTTGAGGATGTGACGTCATTTCGTAATCTTTCGACGTAGGTTGTTCGACTCCAGAGGAAGTTGATACAATTATGAAGCTCCGACCGACAGACACTGCAGTTAAAAGAATATAGCATATCAAAGGTGGAAATAGAATAATCTAATGATAGTTTCAATCGTTAATCCTGCATTAACAAAGAAATACATTGTATATGTGTTTTGTTTATATTTCTGTCCGTATAAATAATCATATAAGGTAGGTTTAAGTACGTTAAATATTATATTATTGTCATGGTGTGAAGAGCCTACTGTTTATTAAGGCCCTAAGCGATTGTAACTACTACAATGTAGTAGTCTGGTGTTAATTGATTGATTTTAAAGGTGTAGTGTTTTTCATTAGAAATTAAATAAAGGTGAAAATATTCATTGAATGTAAATATTGAAAGAATTTGTTCAATCTGCTTGCATTTTCAATGTAGCAAAATAATCAGGGACAAATTACTCTTATTAAATTGTGTATATATGAACACCGCTTAGAGTTCTAAATGAGGTAACGTGGAAGTTTTCGTTACGTATGTATGGAATATTTTTATGGTTTTAAGGCACAAGAAAGCTCAAAAATGTTTTTTTTATGATTAGTTTGCCACAACACACAAACTTTCCTTGCAATTTCATTCTTTTCAATTTCTCTAATCACAAAGAGCTGATTTACTACATGTAAATGCCCTGCTCCTTACATCTTCGCCCAAGGCCAATCTCCTGACAGAATATTCTAACTAATCAAATATTAGAGGTGTTTGATGTAACTTCTGAATTTCTACATTCATTACCCTCTCGAGACGAACAGAGTAGATTCAAACATGAAAAGCTGACCAGATTGTCTTTTTTCTCAAGCTTCCAACTTTTTTCTTTTCTTTTCTTTTTTTCATTTCTTTTCTTTTCTTTTTTGTTTTGGATAATAGAAAATTCCAGCTACAGGTAGGATCAGGAGGTCCTATGTATTGATCAGGTAGACGGAATATTCCATTTACAATGTAGTCAAATAAAGGGCTAACAATTGGTATGAAATATGTCAGTCAAGATACGAACCTGTGATAGGTTATATTCGATACTATGTACATTTGTAAGATTTAGATTAATGAAGTGGATCACTCGGTTCCCCGCTTTGAGTTCGTATTTCTAAATAATTGGAGTTTTTTTCTACATATATTTAAAAACTGAAACATAACACTCTGAACAATTTGGATTTAAGATGTGTAGCAAAAACTCACCGTAACGAGATCTATATATGTAAACTAATATAACAATAGTAAATGATTGATGTAAGTTATTATTTTTTCTAAAAAAATCGGTTATAGAACAGTTTAAATAATGCTTCTAATGGTACATGTAGTTATGGAATATAAGTGAAAGAAGGAGGTGGGCATTGTTATAGAATACATACCATACAAAAGACACAGTGTCAAAACATGTATCAGGCTCAAAATTGGTTTTGTCATATTTTCTCAGTCTCTATTATCCTCTGACTTCAAGGAATAAAGTTTAAAACAGAAGATATTATACATTTATACAGAATCTTTGAGAATTTTCGCGTTCCTCTATTCTTAAGTATCTCAAGGGTTACTTCAATGTCTTAATTCAAAGTAACAATGAACACACGGGTTTCATTTCTTCTTAACTATCTTAAAGATAGATGGAGAAACGTGGAACCAATAAGATTATTTGATTGAAAGTTACTTTCACTTTCATCGAGAAACATGAGTCACTGTACTATTAGATTTATGTTGGTTCCCTTACTTTCACTTTTGTTGTTTACAAAATAGATTCTATTCAAAATAAAACATTGAAAATTTTCACCCCAAGAAAACCATGTCAACCGAGGCGCAGCCTCAATGTTACACTCAACTACATGCAGTATTTATTATATTATGCTGAATGTTTTATACAAATACATATTACAGTGAACCTTGTGCGCATGAATTCTGCCCATGAATATTTTTTTGGAATAACACTCGTCGTCAAGCAATGTTAACTGGTGCTACGCTGGAGGGCGTGGCTTCATTATTCAGCGGGTAATAGTGTTTTTTTAACAAATGTTTTTCGACGAATCAGATTCAACTAATTTACATGAAAGTATAATATTGTATATTGAGAAACTTATCTATTATTTTCAAATGTCCAAAAAATGGTTAAGGATTTAATTCAATAAAATAATTATTTTGTTGTTGCCTTTTCTTTTGTATCTAATATAAACAGATAGTTAATAAACATTGACTGATTAAAATTATTCAAGTTAGAACCTGCCATTTTTAGCATGAAAGCAAATCTTTTCAGATTAATAATATTCATGTAACATATTTTGTACATATACTTTGTATAAACAAAGTGGACTAGAATTATATCATTTCATTTAAATATCCACTTTTAAAATATGTACGTATACCTAACGTTATTAATCTTATAATAATTTGTATCTGGTTTTGTCTGGGTAAAAAACACCTTCCCGTTTAACTACTTAACTGTTAAGCGTTGAACTCTTAAGATCGCTTGTAAGTATGTAAAAGATTGAATTAAGATGAATTAGGGCACCTTGACCTCCTTTTATATCTTAATCACTTGTGAAAGAAACGCAGAGAGCATAATAAACATGTGCAGAAAATTATAAAATATTACTTGACATAATTTTTTGTTTAAGAAAAAAAACTTCCTCTCCAAAAACAAAAAGAGCTTTTCTTTAAAATCCATATATGTATAATTTAGATGTAATAAAAGGTAGAAACCAATTCAGATTATTTCTCTATGATATTTTGAAGTTCTTAAATTAAATAAAAAAGAAATTTCCTAAGAAAATCCTACACGAAGTTTTAGAATATGCCATCTTTGTAACGTTACTCTACAACATTGACATTTTCATTTAAAAAAAAATGCTATTCACAATTTTATATTTACGAAAGACAAAGCTTTTATAAACATGATTTGCTGATTATAGAGAGAGAAAGAGGGAGAGAGAGAGAGAGAGAGAGAAACGCAAAAGAAACGCAACATCCTATTTTAGAGGGAAATATTATATATAGGATATAATTTTGTATCTAAAAAGTAAGGATATTTTCAACTTTGTAAATATATCGGTAATTTAACGATTGAATGGTTTTCATAACATTACCGGATGTTAAGTTTGTGTCCGCTTAACAGAAATAAAAAATTGCATGTTTAACAAAACATTTGGCAATAATATGGGGTTTTCAGGGTTTGCATCTGTTCGTCATAAGTAATGCAGTAATATTTCAAAAAATAAATTCTCCTTTCTTTTCCGTAAGCGATGCCAAGGCTTCCTGAAAATGATTTTAGTACGCATTTCCATTGCTCTAAGTGGAAAATATCAAAATAAAGGTGATGGAGAGTTGCAGATCCAAATATGCACTACATCATGCCTCAACAGGATCTTACGTATCATTAGCATGAATGACAGTCCTTGGACCGGAAGTACAAGGGTTACTACACTGCGCTTGGCTAGAGAAAATTCGACCTCCTCATCTGAAAAACAGGCATTTAAAAATGGCAAAGAATATTGAGATGGATATAGAGATGGATGAACCTATTGCATCGTAGAAATCAAGCTTCAATTGTTGTGCATTGCAGCCTTGCACACTGTAATTGAATGGCCGGGATGGGGGTGTTTTAACAGTCATGTGTTAATTTTTAAAGTTAAAAGATAATCCTTTAACATTTTTATCAAATCTTTGATGTTTTAAATCGAGTTTTTCCTTACTGTTTTCCTTTTAAAAAAATCATTAGATAAAAAATTCTAATAATTGTAGATTACTGCTTGTTGCGTTTCAATATATATGATTAGTCATATTATTATAGCAGCATCCTCAGGTAGTGTAGATTCAAATTTGTTCAAATTTAGGGAAGGTAGGATGGGGCACAATGAGCGATCAGAGTTTTACACAGGAATACATTGGGGAAAAATCTTTAAAATTCTTCTGCTGAAGAACAGCACAGCCATAATTAGTAATTTTGATTTGTAAGCATCTTGAGGTAGTGTAAATTCAAGATGCCCCCGGTAAACTTTTCAATACAGAACTGCTTCTTGACCAAGTCAGTGTGCTCAGGTGAGCGATGTGGCACATGGGTCTCTTGTTTAATTTTTGCTCATCCCGAAATTTCTGGGTAGGTTTGCTTGTTAAAAATTTCCCTCTAAGTTTTTGCCCACAACTGAAATGAATTGTTATTTACAAGCATGTAGTTTGTGTGAAGTGTACGTATTGTTTTGAATGACTTAACTATCGGTGAAGTCGGCGTATATATGTAAGGGATACAAGACGAAGATGGTTTAATATGTTAGATACGGGACAGGGACGAGGTGCGAAGCACCGAGTCTCAGCCCCGAATCTGACATAAAAGACCATCTAAGTTTTGTATCTTTTTCAATGCATTTTTGTATTGACACTGGTGACGGTGACCAAACCAGATGGGTGGGGCGCTTAGGGGTTTAAGAGATTTCTTTCAAAGGGATGAATAGTTTTTGAATTAAAACCCCTTACTGAACCCCAATCATATATTTTTTATCGTTGTGACTCTCTACGGATGCGTTAAAAAGAGCTGAGCAACTTCATGACATTATGCGATTCTGAGATCTAGAATATTGTGAAGGATCCTTTTTTAACGATCGTAAGTGACCAGTAGGCAAATATTCCGGGAAAGCGCCGTTTTTCCCTTGGATATCGAAAGCACCACATATTTACGTAAATTAATTTGGAAATATATATTGAAATTAAATTTTCCGGGGGAAAAATCGGAGTTGTATGGGATATATTTACAGATCGATTGTAAATTTATCCGCTTTTTCTTCCCCTGAATGCTAACATTCAAGAAATAAGATATCATTTTTAGAGTTTCATTGGAGTATGACATGAAGTCGGTCACGTGATCAAATTCTATAACGCCGGAAGGGCGTTATAGTAGATTTGATCACGTACCAACTTCATGTCATATCCCAATGAAACTCTAAAAAATGATATTTTATTTCTTATATTTATATTTTCCTTTTTTATTCGTGTTACAAGGAAAAAATAGGCACTACTTAGACTTTGTTATGAAAATGCAACATAACGTATCTACGACATCATGTGACGTCACAATCTGAACTTTCCAAATGGCTCGTGCAGTTTGCTTTCCATACACAAGAAAGCCTGATCAACTGCATGTCATTGAAAATTGAATTTCAATTTAATTAGTATTTTTATATAAGAAAAGATATATTGGCAAATGTAAATATTAAGTGTTAACTCGACCATATAATGTGCTTCAATATCGGTAGTTTCACAATCAGTGACCTGAATGTAAATTCTAAGGGATTTCTTGGATATTCCTACTTTGGAAGTTTCGTTGCACGGATTGGATAACGAGATGTGGATTATACATGTAGCTTGCATTGGATTCTGTATAGCTTAAATAGTATTACGAGATGTTGATTTCTATCTATATAGCTTGAATTGGATTACGAGATGTTGATTTCTATATAAAATGCATAATTTTTGTCTATTTGTTGCCTTATTCATTCGTTGTGTAAACGCTAGGTGATGTCATCCTTTGTTTCACGCAGTCCAGAATTATTTTGGAGTACAATATTAGATATAATATTGTACTCCTGAAATGATATTGGACTATAGCTAGTACACTCTTTGAAATATGAGACTGTACAAAAGAATGACGTCACTAAAATGTTTTGAATAAGCTTATAATGTTTGAAATAATTTTGGAAATGGAGGATCTTTATATTTCAATATTATACTAACTTGCACAACTTTTTAATTATGTTTGTTGAAAAAAAATCAAGATATTCAAAATCTGAAATTTGACTTAAATCTGTTCTCAGTTTATGGTCTTGGGGGTTGTCTGTTTGTTTATCGAACTAGCTCAGTTTTAATGTACATGAAAGCTTGACGGGCTTGAAGAAGCCAAAAGAAAATGTGGTTCAATTAACTCCGAAAAAACTCGAAAAATTGAGACTGTGCATTCAACAGATATTCAGAAAAATAGAACGATGTCAGACTTACCATATACATGTATCATTAAGCAGAGGAATGTGAAGTGTTCAGGAAATCGACTCCACACCCCCCCCCCCCCCCCCCCCTCGCCTCATATTCTGTGAATATTTAAACCAACTGCTGACCAGACACTGAGCAGAAATTAAATGCCAGTGTTACCTGGACGAAGCGGCGCATAGAGAAGGCTCACGTAAAATATTTGGACAGGGCATGAAGGTCTATATAGGTGAATATTTGTTTGAGGGAATTTTAAATTTATTGTTGATAAAATACTAAGCTTTATCATCACATTTTCATAGATAAGTATAGTCATAAATAGAATTATCACATGACAAGAAGATGGCGGCAACACCCGCCTCCAAATTATCGCGACAGGAACACCTTTATAAGATTCTGGTAATAGGAGAATTTGGTGTAGGTGTGTGTGTTTTCCAACATAATAAGTAGGCAAGTTTTTCTTTTCTTAAGAAAGGATTTTTTTTTACTGTTCTGTTTCCAAATGCTTGAAAAACGTCAAATTGTGTTTGTAAAAAAAATATTGAAAAAATAAAATCACTGAAAATGAATATTATTACTATTATTTTTTTTATGAAGTACATGAACACCTGTTACTTAGCATGAAACCTCTATATTTTTAGATACTAGAAATACATGTGCTTATTTATCAACTATAGTTTGTCATTCAGGTTAAACTTGTAACTGTGTCAAAGGTTTGATAGTTGTTTCATGTAAAATTAGTCCCATTTATCCCGAAACAAGATGTTAAGAAGACGTTTTATCATTACATACTTATATATTTATATATTTTTTTGCTCATGAACAGGGAAGACATCAATCATTCGTCGTTACACTGAAGGTAACATAAAAACTCAATTTCTTTAAACTCGGTCTTTTACATGTAATTAATATACACTCCACCCACCCCGCAACCCAATTAAAAAAGACAAAGGATTGTGTTTGCTTCGACTAACACATTAAAATTAGGACCCCCCCCCCCCACCCCCACCCCACCCCACCCCCAAAATGTACCAATATTTGATTGCTTATAAAGATTAAGACACAGGTGTATCTCGATCGTCACTCTTATGGTAATTAAATGATTATAAATCCACTATTAAAGAGCATTTCAAACCTGAATGATAAGGGGAAGATAATGTAAATTGATACACTGATCGATCACAGGTATTCAACTATACTATGGATTTTTTTTTTTTATCAATAAAGAGATATACTTGAAACTTCTTCAAGTACTCGTATAATCGATAGCATTCATTTGCAAAGTATACAGTACATATTGGGAAAACTACATGCATGTGCACTAGCACTTTACTACATTTCTTACCTTTGTTATGCAATTAAACAACTTTTTCTAAATCTTTGCACCAACGAGATACACAGTCTATATCAAATGCATCCCCTTAAAACAATTATGCATTATACAATGTAATGTCGATGCTTGCAGCTTGCACCAATTATTATATGTATAATACACTGTCAGTTAGAGCTGGAGTACCCATATAGTGAATAGAGATAACCCTCACCCCCCCCCCCCACCCCTCCTACACATAAATACACAAACCACCTCTACCATGTAATGAGTAATCCTCTTGTGGTATATTTCAAACAATAATATTTTTTTTCTTTCCTTAATTATTAGATATATCTAATTGATCATTTACATTTATTTTTCCTCCTTGTCAATCTTTACACTTTCTGTTAATTCTAAACTCTTGTAACCTCAGGAGAGGACTTATATAGGCATGATGCCTCAAGTCCAATCCAAATAAGTTTCTTTACTTAATAAAATACTGATAAAATTAAAACAACCACCGCCCAACACCAGCAATAACTTGTCTGTCAGGGTCACGGGGGAATGGTTTGAACATATAATTTATTGTCTTTAGATTATACAAATGGGATGCATATGGGGCAAAAGTTCAAAAACTTGATACGCCCTTTCCCTACATGTGAATTATATCAAACATATTCACACATATGGGTCACAATTTAAAATGAATAAGCACAGAAAAACATAATAATCAAAGAATCAAATATTCTATATGAATACATACATTGTACACATGTGATACATGCACAGACTGGATAGAATTCGCAAAAAGTAATTATTGCAGAACGACCTGACATTTTAATAAATGTTTGTACAATTGACAAAAAAGGTATTCATTCTCGGCATCATGCACTTAATTAACAACTCCTATCCCCAGGGTAAGGTGTGAGTATCTCCCCATTCGCAGAAATTTGTCGAAAAAGTCTTTTCCAGAAAATAAGCTTTTCAGTCCAAGACTTTCAGAGTGAAATCATTTTTTTTTTAGGGATGTCAAATCGGTCAATTTTTGATAATCGGTTAATTGGACGTCTTTCCGATCGAGTACTCGGTAAAAATGTAAATACAAGTGTGTTAATTTTCTTGAGCCCCGTTAAACTCCGTTAAACCCAAAAGCTGTTTTTATCACGTTTATAAATGTATATAAACACCGATTCCAACGTAAATGATTTTTAGTACTAAATTTATTTATCAAATAAACACAAAAAACATAATTATTACATCAAAAGTTACAAATGGTTTACAGTTCTTGTTTAGAATCTATTCCATCAAAAGTAGGAAAATCTGTTACACAGGTTTGTGAGGATTAGACTAGCAAAAGAGAAGGAACGGACGTTGTTGGGATCGCTAGTCTAATATTTTAGTAAGTTTAGTCTAATGTTTTAGTAAGTTTAGTGTATACGGGAAAACAATTTCATGTGTTGATTGTTTCCCCCTTAGACACTAAACTTACTATGCAAACTACTTTAAACATTTTTTTTTAATATTTATTTATTTTGAAATATTTCTTCACTTTTGGAGTTAGTAGCGGCATTTCTATGCATGTCCGATTTCGCTGCCGTGTATTAACTTAATTAATGATTTAAAAATGCTTTGAAGAAAATAGACCATCGATATTCACTGAAAACAATCATTGAAGCCATCCAAAAATTCAGGACCACAATAGGTGAGAAAAGTTGGGTGATTGGTCACTAATTACTGTATATACACAGTCACAGGCGATAATGGATGTTTTACAGGTGTAGAAGACTACACGCTATAATTACTGTATGCATATTTAAGTTAGTTTTTGATAAGTTTTTGATAAAAATAAGTACTTTGAAATAAGAAAAAATACACATCCGAGTAACCGATTACCATTTTTAGTATTCGATACTCGGACGTTCGATCGAGTACCCGGTTAACCGGGTACTCGTTGACATCCCTATTTTTTTAAAAATATATTTTGCCCATAGTTCTAAAATGTGTTTTTCTAAGGGTTATATCGAAAGGTCAAGGTCATCGAAAACACGACACAAATTTCTTCTGTTCAGTAATTTTGATTTGACACAATCGCTTGCTTATTATTTTTACTAGTTTTTAAGTTTTAAATCATATTGTAATTTTTATAATTTAAATTCTGTTTAGATTGTGCATGTATATCGATTCAGGTATACGCTTGTTTAGTGAAGATCTGGCTCTGGGGCCATAAAACTTAGACACTTTTACAAAAGGAATATGTACAGTGGAAAAAGTGAGACTGGGATCAAAAGTGAGCTCGTCTAAGTTTTATGGCCCCGGAGCCAGGAAAGTGAGACTGAGATCAAAAGTGAGCTTGTCTAGGTTTTATGGCCCCGGAGCCAGGGATGTAACTGGAATCTCATAAAACATTTTTCTTACTATCATTTAAAACACGTGCATGACCGTGTGCGGATGCTCAGTGATACAATTCAATTCAATTCGTTTATTGACCAATTAAGGGCCCTCATGGGGCAAAAAGAAAGTACATTGTTAAAATGTATATAATGATTATGATCATACACACGAAATAAAATATACATATACATAAGAGGGAAAGAATTGCTTGATTGATAGAAAAGACATACAAGTAGGGGAATACCCCAAAATATTTTATATGAACATAAGACTTGTTTTATAGGTATATATACAGTACATCAATGACATATATATATGCATATATTACATGTACATCTGAATCTGAAATGGACATTTATATACTGTTCTGCACGTGTACATTCTCAAAAGGTCAAACTTTATCGTTGGGAAGGATGGGGTGTATATCGGTAGTCTAATTTCATCCTTTCTCTCTCTCTCTCTCTCTGTATATATATATATATATATATATATATATATATATATATATATATATATATATATATATATAATTTGTTTTATCAAGACTTTCTTAATGGGGGGGGGGGGGACGACACCCCCTTTATCCGCCCCCGTTACTTGTCATCTTAAGAAAACCTCTATGTAAATTTTCGTACATTAGTACTCATGTATTTTTTTTTTAGGGTCTTTTTCTCCTAACTACAAACTCACTATAGGCGTCGATTTTGCATTAAAACTTTTGGATTGGGATGAACAAACAAAGATCAATCTTCAGCTTTGGTAAGTTTTTTTTTTTTTTTTTTTCCTTTGTTTTTTTTTTTTGTTTTGTTTTTTGTTTTGCTGTTTGTTTTTTTCCAAAAAATTTAAGAAGTTTTTTTTTCTTCCTTTAGGGATATTGCGGGTCATGAAAGATTTGGGCACATGACTCGAGTATATTACAAATATGCGTAAGCTCTTTTTCTCTTTCTTTCAGCATTGCTCACGTGCAATTTCAATTGGGAAATTAAAATATAATTTGAGAATATTCATGATTATATTATCGCAAGGAATATGTTTTATATATTGAAATAATTGGAATAAAATACCAGACAACTTTCACAACCTGGGTCGTACAACATTTATTAAATTGTTTGCTTTTATTTCAAATTCTTCTCTTTTATAGAATAGCAGCCATAATTGTGTTTGATCTTTCTCGGTGAGTCAATAAAATTTTTACTCTATAATTTAATCAAACGTATGACATTAAGGAAATTTTTGTTTTAAAATTAAGTATTGTGAAGAGCAGATCCTTAAGAATAATCAGAAGAACGGTTGGGCCAGAATTATATGCAGGCGCGGATCCAGGATTTTTTCAAAGGGGGGGGGGGAGGGTCCACCCCAGTCAAAAAAAAAAATTCCTATCCAGAAATTTCTTGACAATCAAAAAATAAAAAAAACTAAATTCCCTTCCCAAACGTATTCAACCCAGAAAATTTCTTGACAAGCAAAAAAAAAAAAAAAATGATAATAAAAAAAATTAAAAAAAACCCCTTAATATCCATTACCAAGGCGTGAACAAAACCTATTTCGTGGTGGTGATGTTGGGGGCTACGTTTTTTGAGGGGTGGTGGTTCCAAAGTCATTTTTTTATTTACTTCAGTATCTACTTTTAATAACTCTGCAAATTCCAGGGGAGGGGGGGGGGGGGGGTCCGGACCCCCCGACCCCCCCTCTGGATCCGCGCAAATAGTATATACCAAAAACATACACGTAATTGTTAAACTTTTCTCCTTTCCTTTGCGACGTCTAGCAAACTAATAAGTAGTAATATAAGTCCTTAAACAAAACTATAAAAATTCAGGATCCCCGAGTTCATCAGTTTCACGAGTGGGACTACGCATGCGTACATTCATGTATATTAGTGGGATTTATACTGCATTTTATCTACGATCTTTTTCTCTACTCCTTGATATCTTGCAGGTTAACAGTTTGCATGATTATAAGAATCAACGATCAATAACAATCAATAAATCATACATGGCGTATTTTTTATAAGTTCAGATCTTTCTATTTGTTTTATTACTTTATATAAAGATAGGACGTTCCTGTAAATTACACAATTTAAATCAATCGCGTTTCATATATAGATATGAAAATTTAAAACAATAACCGATTTAAATATCAGATACAGTTTAAAGTAAATTTAACCATAGAAACGTGGGGTTACTCCAGTTCAAAATCGTTGAAAATTTTAACGTAAATAACAAATATCATGTTCATCCACACTCAATCTCGTATTTTTATTTTTTAGCTCAGATACGCCACATATAGCTTTAAAGCCAATCACTAAACTTATGAAATTCATGATCACGATTCGTTGTTGACCTCTGGATGCAGGATTTCAGCTTAGGGTAGGGTTGCTACATGTAAATTGATCATATATTGGAATTTGCATTGCGTCTTTCATAATCGCCTTCTTTATTCCTGGACATACAGCAAGTAATCTGTTGGCATGACTTTAACGAACAATAATTAAGTCATTAACCAAACTTTTCTTTTTTGAAATTCATGACCCCAGGGTACAGACCCTAGGGTGAACAATAATTCTTATAACTCTAAGTGCTGTATACTAACATCGTGAAATTCGCGACCTGTGCATGTTGATGAATCCTCTCAGATCCTCAAGCTGTTTGAATGATCATAAGATTATAATTGTAAAATTTAGAAACCCTCGTTAACGCACTAAGGAGATGCAGAATTGATCACACAATTAACTTAAGCATTTAAAAAATTAACTTCTGAACTTACAGGCTAACTATTTGCGTGATTGTAACACAGGTACTTGTGGACAGAACCCCCCCCCCCCCCCCCCAATATACACCCCTTGGTCAAAGAATTTTTGTTTGTTTTTTTTTTTTTTTTTTTTTTTTTTTTATATAAATTATTCTTCTACTTTACAATTAAAACGTATTCCATATGAAAAATCCGAAAAATAACGCAGAATAACCGTTTTATAAAAAAAGTCATATCCGCGGTATTATAATATTATTATCGCGGATATGACTTTTTTTTTATAAAACAATAAGTATTTGGTTAAACTAAGACTAAGTGCTGTGAAACAGAAGGATTTCTTAAACACGCACAAAAAAAATTAACTTTTCTCACCTGCATCGATAAAATACTAAAAAGTTACAAAAATATCATTTTAAGTAAATGTTGAAGATAAAAGGAGCTCGAGATATTGTCCCATAGAGATATTTTGATGTCTACCTGTCATGGATATTTCTGTTTTGATATCTACCTGTCATAGATATTTATGTATACATGTACTATGTCTTTCTTTTTTGCAGCCCAGCAACCTTCGACTCTGTCTCAAAAGTATGTATTCCAAACTTTGGATATTTAAGGGACGTTTCATAATCAATAACATGCATGAATATGTGTAGTTGGAAGTTTTTCCTAGTTGTTGAATTTCAATATTATATATACTTGGGGTGCTTTAAAAGATGTTTTTGTTTTTGGTAAGATTTTGCTTCAATAGGACCCAAATCAGAATAATTTTTAATTTGGTCTGTTTCCCTTCCTCGATTATATATTAAACATGATGAGTGATGATTCAAAACTACTGCATTTGTCCCTTTTAGATTTATGAAATATGCACATATTTGAAATAATCAATCAAATGCATGTACGACTGGATTGTTCTTTTTTAAAATGAATTCTATATTTTTAGTGGCTTGGTGACGTAAATTCCAAAGTCATGTTAGCCAATGAGCAGCCCGTTCCTGTTCTATTATTAGCAAACAAGGTATATGTGTTACGACCAGGGATGGGGTAATTGAAAAAAGTAATTGTAATTGACTGTAATTAATTACATCTTTTGAAGTAATTGGAAGTAATTTGTAATTGAACATTTTTTCAATTACTTGTAATTGTAATTTAATTAATTACACTGAAAAAATACCATGTAATTTCAATTACTTTTTCAATTACATTCAATTACTTAATATAATACACATTCATGATATATTCATGATATATCGTTACCACTACCCCCCCGTTTTACTGGTTTTTATTTTATTGTTAAAACATATCCTCAATCCTTCAATTAAACAAAATCTTAGGTTAATGCTTACAAATAAATAAATAAATGATTGGCTTGATAATAATAAACTAGTTTCTTTCTAATCATTATGTAAATTTTGAATTTTTGATCTATGTTTATAAATATGAATTTTGAACCACCCTTCTTAGGTCTATTCAGCTATGCAACACACATTTGTTGTACATGTATTTCAATCTTTGTTGTTTTATCAATAATAAAGAAAAGGAAGGTGTGTGTCATTAATTAAGTTAGAGTTCTCTCTTGTTGGGAATTAAGAGATAATTGCCCTCCAGATCACAGCTTTAAATTGCAATCAAAACAAATGAACTCCTCTAAAGAGATATTCATTCCATGATTTAGAAGACAAAGCCAGTGGAGATAAACATTTCATTTTAAAATTCTCCGCTCGTTTTAGAAAAGAAATACTTTCAATTTGATAATTATTTTAACATCTAAGCAGATTTTTATGAATGAATTTTCTATCTGTACAATTCTGATTTATGAAGTAAAATTGTTCAACATAAATAGCAATTTGAGGTGTTCAGGTTACCTTCAAAGGAAATATTTAATTTAAGGGGTTTCAGTTGCGACTCATTTTACTCTATTAAAATACTCACTTTTAATCAAATATCATAAGCCATGCAATTTGTGTACATATAGGTTTTGTGTGGTGGAAACTGCATCAAACAGATTTCGGATAGTTCTTTAAGAGATTCTTATTGTATTGTAAATAAATGTTATAAATTAAACCACAGTATGATACACAATGCCTATAGCATATTATTTCTTGTACTGTTTGTGCAGAGGCTGAGCTTATATACAAATAAATGATGTTCTGTATTCATTGAAAAGGATTATAAAAATTTTCAAAAAATAAAAAATAAAAATGTAATTTGTAATTTAATTAATTACTTTTGCAAAGTAATTGTAATTTAATTAATTACATGTCTTAGAAAGCCTGTAATTTAATTGTAATTTAATTGAAGAAAAAGTCGAAGTAATTGTAATTTAATTAATTACTTTTTAAAGTAATTGACCCCATCCCTGGTTACGACTAATACAACGTGTTGAAAATCCTGAATATTTCAGTAATTTATTGTCAGTGGGTCTGACTTCGTACCAAGAGAGAATCTGGTTTTTGTTTGAGTTTCATCTGACTAATTTTATCAGTTTCAATCTGTAAATTAAATGTGAGCACATAGAATTTCTGACATACCGTACATTTTTTAGTTTATGAAATTATGGAAAAAGGAAAGAATAAAACATTTCAAAGATCTTGCATTGCACTACTAATCTACATGAAGAAGAAGCATTTTAAAACGCATTTAAACGGATCAGTGCCAACAACTGATTAAGGGTCAGCTTTCTAAAAAAAATGTTGCCTGAATTTGCGCAACGTTAGCTAAATTGGTATTTATGGGTAGTTTAGGAGTGCCAATTCTGTTCTTTTGTCCAGACATACATTTGACGAAATAAAAAATCAGATTAACGTTTTTTTTCCCCTAGTGTGATCTCCAAGATGTTGATGTCGACTCCAAACGACTTGATCAATACTGTCAAGAAAATTCTATTACGGGCTGGTTTCCAACATCGGCTAAAACTGATAAAAATATAAGTAAGATGTACAATTCTTAGATTTTTTTTAGCTTTAAAAAAAAAAGCCAATACTCTAACTTGCAAAAATTATAAAATTGATAAAAATAATACTCGATGCTTGTAGTTCTTATACGTGTACAGTAAGTAATATCAGAATTTAAAAAAAAAAAAAAAAAAAAAAAAAAAAAGTGTGTTCTTCGTTTTACTAATTTACATTTAGGTAAAAATATACTCAGATCGGTACACAGGGCCCTAACCGATATTAGAGCTTTTTCAAGAATAATTGTTTTATTTATTTAGCTACTTAAGAATTGAATTATTTTCAAAGTTCAAGTTCCAGTCCTAACACCCACACTTCCTGTTACCTATTTTGAGGTCTCTTTCCACACGACAACCCCATCCCCCTTCCCTTGAGATTAAAACCTTTTGAGCACTCTCTTTTGATAAGCTCGTTTAATTTTTTCATGATTTGAAAGAAAGATACCGTGATGGGTTTTTTTTGGGGGGGGGGGGCTTCAAAGGGGGAGAAAGGACACTTCCTGAAACTTCAGTAATCCATTCGGTATTGTAAATACAATCGTACTATACTTTTTTGTTTGGCTAGACCATTTCATATTTTTAACAATAAAATCCATGTATTTGTACACCCCTTTTTACCTTTTTAGATGAAGCAATGAAATTCCTATTAGAGAAAATTCTGGAGCTACCTTCGGAAAGCCAGCAACCTTCGGAACACATCTCTCTCTCAACTTCCCTCAGAAAGCCTCAATTTGACGACTCCTTTGAAATGGAGAAGGTCACGCCCAAACAAAAAGAACAATGCTGTAGCTAACACATGTTTTGTCCTGGTCACATGTGTATTAAGATACACTTTAAATCTGAACTTGAGTTTCATTACGACACAATCTTGGGAAGCATAATTTTAGGATCAAAGTTACAAGTTTTTAAATATTTCATATCGAAAAGTATATCATTATTGAGATTTAATCTGTCACAACTTATCAAAGGAATAAAATTTCAACTTGACAAATTATATCGTGAAACATTTAACAAAATGAGTAAGTATCACTGGATACGAAGTATGTTATAATTTCTGTGTACATGTTTCTTATCGTCGAAAGGTAAAATTAATGGCTTTTTTTATAGATCACCATGCATCGGACACCCTCGTACTTGAACAAGTTCTAGACAGCGATATCGCTACCCACCGAATATTATCAAAATGGATTTCAATATGTATTATTTGATTAAAATGTGAATTTGTGACATAGTTATATGCTATTTATTGAGAAAATATCACTAAAAACGATTTTTTTTTAAAAAATGAGTAATTCACCATGGATCGGAAGTATTCACCATGCATTGGACAAACGGAATATTGAATGGGAAAAATGTCCTACCTTTATTGCAGTGACCTTTAAAACACCTGAGATCGTTATAAATTAGCGACATGAAAATATATCTCTATGCATCATTTAAAATTAATTCTCCAATTTAATTTGATTGACTTTATCGATCCACAAATGTGGAACGATTTTAGTTGCATCACATCGGCTTAGTAGACCTTCCAATGCCCCGTGTTACATGTATTGCAATTTGCACCTTATTCTTGGGGGGGGCTATCATCTTCTAGTCTGAAGAAATAAAGATAGCCCACATCTTGTGTTATATCGATAACTTGTATTTTCACTGGATATGTTGAGATTATTTCAGCAAAAACAGCTGTCTGTTTGGTATTAAACATGTTTCTCTACACGAAAAAGAAATTTTCCGGATGCATGGTTAATTTGTGTCCAATGCATGATGAATTGAACATACTAGTACTAGTGAAAAACAATTGTAAGAAAATTAATACAATCTTTAAAAATAAATTTCTTGAAATTTTCTATGAAATTATCACCTAGACGTACTCGTTCCCTCAAAGTCTAATAAAAGAAAGACAACTCTAAATATTTGCAAAATCAATAAATTCTGGTTACTCCCCTTCGATGATGCCAAAAATTACATCACTTCAAGGCCATTATCGTGGTATTTTAATTTTATATCACATGATAAATTGGCATATTCTTCGGCTTTAAGACAGACACAAGTCAAAACACGGAGACATTCAGGCTAGATGCTTTATAGCTTCAATTTGTCCGAAGCAAGGTATGTGTCCGATGCGTACCATAACATTAAAGAAATTTGATTTTAACAATTTAAGAACTGTTGAATTTAAGCTTTCATAGTATCCTTTGTATATATAAAATTTGTATATATAAAATTTAAATAAAGATGTATGTTCGTACGAGGAAAAAGGAAAATAAATGTGCACACATTTCCATAGCTACATGTATTTGTTTGCTTATACAAAGCACAGGTACTTGTGGACAGGACCCCCCCCCCCTCCCCCCCGAATATACCCCACGGGTCGAAAAATATTTTATAATACCGCGGGTATAATTTTTTAGTAAAAGGTTAATTCTGCGTTATTTTTTGGATTTTTCATATGGAATTCATTGTAAATGTGTACTAGAAGATTAATTTATGTAAAAAGACGAATAAAGACGAACAAAAATATCCTTGGACCCAGGGTGTATATTGGGGGGGGGGGGGTCCTTTGGTTTGTACATGTGTAACTAATATGTATGCAGATATCATGTCCTTGGTCAGAGGTACATGTAAGTCTGAGGTCAAAATGCCGGTCCTAAAAAAGTTTTCACAAGAATGTTTTAACTTTTTAAAGTTTTGACAAAGGTGTATGAGGACAGGAATTTCGGATATACACTGTATGTCCAAAAATGAAAAAAAATACAAAGAAAAAGTCGAATAAGCCCGGTTGTCTATATCCTGAGGTAACTGCTGCTGTCATAAGATACCAACGTTTTTAACAGCTATGCCTGTATACAAGACAAGGTTTGAATTCTGATGTCTCATGATCCTAGCCGTGGCCTAAAGACACCTTTATAAAGATTGTATGACAGGTATATCAAAAAATTAATTCATACTCGAATTCCGGATCATCAAAATGTAATACCTCCTTGTAGCTTTTCAATGGATTATATCCCAATGAATTGCTATATATCATTAAAATAACATATATTAAACACTCATTAAACACATGACGCACTGTGCATTATCCCCCTTTTTCTATGTTGTCACCATGTTTTGTATCGGGTCTTGCTTTGGGCTTTTAAAATGTTGATTTTTCACCGTCATTGTCAGGAATCATTTGTCGCGATTTTGCAGGATCGATGAACCTAACATTCAAATGCAATTGTTCAAATCTGATCAATGAAGTTAAAATGTCAATCCAGTCTTATCAGGATTTTTTTAAGAGTATTTACTCTAAGATCAACGTATGTGCTGAGCCATCCTGTTCATACAATACGATATCTGTCCAATTAGATGAATTCTTGTGAATATCTACGTTTGATCAAATCAAAACACAAAACAAAACCAGAAAAAACGGCAAAATCTCATCAAAAATAAAAATTGATTGACAAACATGTACTTAATTACATCTGTAATTCATTTTAGTTATCTAATATCAGCTGCCTCATTCTTGATCGTGCACCGAAAAACTGGGCGACATTCCGTATTTAATTTTAAAGCCACATGTGTAAATCATTGCAACAAATTAAAGAAGTTTAAAGTGTTAGGTGTAAGATAGAAGTCAATTTAAATAATAATATCACACTGATCGATGGCTATCATTTTCATAAATTTGTGTCAAAATTTCTTTCAATACGAATTCCATCCCCAGTATTCTTTCAGGGTTTGTCAGTGGCCGTCAATGACTCTTCAACACGCTATACAATCAGATATAAAAATTGGCGAACTGGACTAAAGTTCTATACAGGCAAAAACAAATATTCAAATTTTCGACTTCTCGCTCTCGAGAATGTCTTAAACTGTTCGTCGGAGATGTAATTTATAAGAATTTAATGCCCTGCTTTTTCCATGGGCCGTTTTGAGGTTGTAATTTTTAAATGGGAGTTTTGAAAGGTTGGAAATGATACTGGTTTACGTGTCGGCGTGTTGTTTAAGAAGTTGTGATATTAAGGCCAGTAAAATTGCTGAAAGTTGATAACGGTACAAACGGGAAACTTTTGTCACTTTCGTTCGCCCTTTATATGCTTTTGTGCCGACTATTAGGCCATGAGTTTACAGGATTAAATATCTGAAAAATGAGATAAGAATTATCATCGATGGAACATTTATCAAAAGAAGTTTTAATTACGCTGGGTTGCTTGATTGTGAATGCACGAAAACAGCCATTGAAGTCCCACAATTCGAAGAAGGCGATCTTTAGAAAATGAAGAACACTATATGTTATACATGTACTTACGGCAAAGAGTTGAATAATAAAAACTTCGTTCACAACAGGACTATGTGGTAAATTTCAAATTATTTGACAGAAAATCAACTCCGGGCGATTCAGTAAAATTACGATGGAATATTATTTCGATGGAGATTAAAAAACTGATTTATTTCCTACCGGGACCGATCTTAATGCTGATTGGATTGATAATAAACATTGTAAGTTTCAGCACCGCTCATTGGTCAAAGGATCAGGTGAGCAACGCTGGTCTATGGAAGATGTGTTTAGGACTAAGTCCGAGAGATTCAGAAAGACAGTGTTTCCATTACAGTAGCCGAAGCCATCTGCCATGTAAGTAGGGGGTGGGACACAAAATTCTGACATAACAGTACGGGAGGGATAATAAATCATTTAAAAATAGGATGACATTTGAGTTGCTTTAGATTTGAAATACACAGATACAAATTTAGGGTTAACACCGACTGGGATAATTTGTAAAATTTTAATGTAGGCCATGTTATCATCGTCGGGTATCCGACGATGCATGTTCATATGAATCAATTTAAAAAAAAAGATGCTTTTTGAGATGATGAGAGTAACTTTTTCCCCGCTTAGTGTAAAAAATAAAATATATAAAAAATCAAAAGCCCACCCCTCTCTATTGTGTAGAATAACTGTTTAATGTTCTTTCTTGATTATGTCTGTATATAACGTTGTCACTTTTACAGACATTTACATTTATTTTGTGATTTTTTACCCATATGTACTCGATAAAATCGTGATAATTACTGTATTATAATTACAATTTGTCAACTTTAAATAAGTGTATATAATAAATACATGTACATGTATATATTACAGGTCTGTAGGAAGCAATTTCAGTTTTAAAAAAAACAAACTTTTTTTTTGGGGGGGGGGGGGTGTTGTTAAGGGGAGTACAACCTGACAGAAATTCTTTACAAGGAAAATAGAAGAAACAAAAGAAGGCGTATTTTTGAGGGAAACAGCCATTTGTATTAATTGTAAAGTATAATGTCTCCCTCCCGCAGTCCCTACGGTCCTGAACTATGTCAGTTTTAAGAGCATAGACACACACATAAATGAACTCTTTCAAAATAAACAGCTGAATAACATTCAGTGTGCGACATAATGAAAACACTCATTCAGCACTCATTTTCACACGAGTATACACTGTTGGGATGCAGCGAAGAAGAAATTAATCGAAATATGTACAGCCTAAAAATTATCATCAATATAAATTTAGTATGGTCACTTCTAATAAATTACGAGCGTATATATGATAATTTTTTTCAGATGTTTCTTCAAAGTTAGTACAATGTATTTAGTTTAATCGATTTATATTTAGACCACTGAAAGTCAATTTTGCATTTCTTAAACAGTTACATGTATACATTATGACTATCAAAGATCATACTTTTTTCTTTTCCATATGCAATAAAAAAACAAAGAATTTCTTCAGAAGGTCTTCAGACTTTATACATGTAATAGAGGGCGCACAAGCATAAAGTAGCTATGTTTTCTATAGTATATTATATATCTGCAAAATTATAAGAAAGGGGGGGGGGCTACGTTTTGTATAATATATTATAAAACGGCTATAAAATACCTATTTTTGTTTTGTTTGATTGAAATTTACAATATTCCAGAAATAATCATAATGTTTTCTGTTAACCTGTAACCTTAATTATCTGAATAAACGCATGAATACTTGAAGAAGACATTTGTAAATGTACATACATGTAATATTTACAATAAAAGAAAAAAAATGTATACATACCGACACTATACATGAACCATATTAACAACTTCAATATGAAATTTTGTTCATAACATACTTTTGTACTAAGTACTGTCTCAAAATACAGCCTGTATTTTTTCAGTAGCTCGTGCATGGACAGTCCAATTAAGAAATAAACAACAATGTTAAAAAGTTCTCTGGGAAATGAACTTGGTTGGTCACGTGATCAAATCCTGTGAAGCCCGAAGGGCTTCTCAGAAGATTTGATCACGTACCAACCAAGTTCATTTCCCAGTGAACTTTTTAACATTGTTGTTTATTACTTTTATTTACATTTGAGACGAATATTCTGAGTAGAACTGCATTTATTACACAAACGGCCCGCCGTATTGCTATGTTGTGACGCGCAATGACCTAGAAGCTGTTTGGTCTTGAGAGTTCGCCTCGCTCCAACATTTGAATATTTACATGGATGTTAAGCCGTCCAGTTCAGGAAATATCTGTTCGTAATGAAAAAACAATGATCGCTACTGAGAATAATCTTACTATTATTGTATGAGTTCTTTATATATGAAGTCGAAAGCGGTGGTATATCGTCTTCAGTTTACATACCTTCAAAGGAATTTCGGGTTAAAAAGGTAAGCGTGATTTTAGGCTAATTAGAAACATTCTTCACACCGAAGAAAGATATAATGATCATTTGTTGAACAAAAAAAATATATGTTTCAATAATTTTATCTTTTTCATCGCTTTAACGGCTCAGAAGTTCCGAAATAGTGTCACTGTGACAGAAATATGTAGACAAGATATCGTCTCGCTGTGTGATTCGGTCACGCCATGACCTCTGACCCCCTAATAAGTTCATACAGAATTGAACATATTTCCTCTTCAATAGGTTCATCTAAGAAAAATATTTGCAAATGTAAATAAATAGATTTGATAAATGTTGTCAAAAACATTTTGTTTGTTTATAAGTTTGTTTTCAGTGATGACGTTTGTATGCAGCGCTCTGTCAACAGTAGGGCTAATTCTGTTGTCCATCTCAGCGGCATGGTCGATCCTTTCTTTCTTCCAAAATAAAAAGAGATCTCGTCTATGGACTCAGAAGTCGGGTACTCTATGTTTAATTTCCGGTAAGTGAAATGCACTTTTTATGATTTATAAAAGGCATCAATTTATACGAGTATAATTTTTCCTAAAAAATTTAGATTTTTTTCTCCAAATTGGACTATATTATAAATGTCATGAAATGTACTATAGCTAGTATTTGATTCTTGTTCGATTTGTATGATTTAACTGATTAAACCAACCAACCAGCCCCCCCCCCCCCCGCTTTCCTGTCCCATGTGCGGATCTAGAGGGGGATCGAAGGGGGGTCCGAACCCCCCCCCCCCTTGGAATTTGCAAAGTTATTAAAGTATATACTAAGCAAATAAAAAATGATCCCCCTAGAAAACGTGGACCCCACCATCACTACCACGAAATATATATTTCACGTTTGGGAAATGGATTTTACGTTTTTCTTTTTCTTTCTTTCTTCCTTTTTTTTTCTTTTTTTTTTTGCCAAGAAATTTTCTGGGTTTAATACGTTTGGAAAGAGAATTAAGGGTTTTTTCTGCTTGTCAAGGAATTTTTTGGTTGGAATTTTTTTTGGACTGTGATATGGACCCCCCCTGGAAAAAAATCCTGGATCTGCGCCTGTGTCCTACGGAAGAGGGAACAAGAACGCGGGTAACACTAAGAGAATTTCAGAGCTAGAACGAAAATGAACGAGGGCAACATTGCCAAAGGAGCTAGATAATAAAGGCGCAGGACGAGATTAGCATTACCCGTGCACCGCCCTAGATCAATCACATCATCGCCCTTGTGTTATTGTTAATTGTGTCTAGAACGCAGCTTTGCATTACTGAAAATCGATATAGCATTTCTGAAATGTTTCTTATCAATACGGAAAATATTTATGTATCATTACCGAAAATTTGATTAGTTAATTTCCAAAATAATGTTTAGCATTTCCGAATCCATTAGCCATGATATACTCTTGTCTCCTTTTTACAAAAGGGGAGATGAAGGAGGACACTTTAATTTTTTTTTATAACAACTATGACCAGAATTTAATTAATAATCAACACTACTTCAAATATTTACAGTCAATTTAAAACCAGATTACATGTAAAACGCTTCTAATCATTCAAAATGAAAATTCGCACATCAATTACTGCAGTGCACTTATTTTTGCCCCAAAAGGAATACATGTACATACCTGTAGTCACTGTATTTCTGGCTTGTAGGCCTGAACACTCAACAGGCAACTCATTTGAATTTTCGGTAATGATATTTAATGTTCTTTCGGAAATGAAAGAAAATAATTTTCGGTCAGATAACCGACCAGTTTTCAAATTTACCGGTTATATTCTGGAATTTCAAGGGGTACGTGTTTTATTCCCTGTTTGCAGATTTGTATTGTTTATAGATTTTTTTTTAGATCGATCACTGTTCCACTTCGTTGTCTTAACTTTTTTATTATGCAATGCAGCCACCTAGAATTCTTGCTTCCTCCCCTTCTCACCCCCGCTTTGCCCCTGACTGGCCCTTAGAGCAAGGAATGATGTAGACGAATGGAACCCATCATTACACCATAGTTTTGCCAAGTTGAAAGAAACCTAAAAACGGAAAAGTTTTTCAAATACATCTCTCTTAGTAATTTTCTCAATTAGTTTATAAGTAGTTATTCCAATCGAAATTCAAAACACAAGAGTCGTCTGCGTGGTGCAGTGGTTATTAGAGCGCGGAATAAGGGGTTTGTGGGTTCAAATCCACAGTGTAACGCGGAGACCGGTCCTTCGGATGAGACCGTATAAATCGAGGTTCTGTATCGCAGTATAGATTCTGGCACGAAAAGATCCCTCACTGAGCAGAGGCCGTAAGTGCCGAGTACAGGTCTAAGTCCTACATTGGCAAATGGTATGAATGAAAAATTCTCGAAGGCACATTTAAAAAAAACAGAAACAAAAAGAAAGGGGAGAGGAGGGGTATTTATTTTTGACAAAATAATTTTTGTACATTTTATTATTTTATATTTAAAAAATACTCACACAGTATAACAAAAGTTTGCAATAATTTAATCAATCAAGCATGCATGTCAAAATTATATATTGCATGTACAGTAAGCATATTCGAACATTTAAAAATGAAAATTTTCTCTACAACAATAAAAAAGAAGACGAAACAAGATCAAAGTGATAGTTTTACTTGCAAGCCATCGTAAATTCTGGTTTCATTGACTTGCATTTTCTTTGCGACCCCAAACTGTCAGACACTTTGACGACCCACACTTACTGTATATATCTTAAGATGTCATTTTCTGAAATCTTACTCCTTCTTTCCGATATCTCAGAATCTACACATCGACAGCCAAGAATAAAATATACATAAATATATGTGATCAGCATTCTAGATATTGGGTATATATGAACTCCCAACTTCAGGTTAAAAGATCTGACAAGAAAATGGGCGTAACTTTATATTGAACAAATATTTCTAAGAGTGTTTCATTTTCCTGTCACATACATTTAAATGTATCCTTGAACCTCAAAATACAGTGTATCTACCGACAACAAAGGTTTTAAAATGCAAATTAGCTTAACAGATTGTTCCATACAGTTTTTGTACTCCTTTTTTTTTACCTTGGATATCTAGATTGCATGAATCTGTTTAAAAATGCAAATGATGCTTTGTTATTTTTACCTAAAGCTTGACTGAGTGGTGGTCAGATATGTTCGTTCGCTACTGGTCAGATAGCTCAGTTGGTAGAGTACTTGTCTAGAATTCAGAGGACCAAGGTTCGAATCCTAGTCTAGTCAGTCGCCTTTTCCCACTTCATATTAAATCCTGGACACGGCACCAAATTCTTCCATCTTTGAGTCCCCCCGAAAGACTCTAACCCAGGCTCTTCCCTTACAGGTTTTAACCTGTCACTTAAGGCATTGGGGCATGGGTACAGCCCCAAAAGTAACAAATAAGGAGAAAATGCGACGTACAGATCAGAATTCAAACCTGCACCCCCTAAACTATGTACAGTCGCGCGACCAGCTGAGTTAAATGACCCCTGCGAATTTAGCCTTTTGACTGCCACAGGGGTGGATGTAGTGGGGGGGCTGGGGGTTTAGAGTTATTGAATTTCTATGTAAAAGCAACGAAAATATGACCTTGCCCTCCTCAGGTAACACGGACCCTTCTTGAAACGGTAAAGAGAGTCATGTATTTGAAGAAAGTCTACTTAAGAACGTGTTTTCCCTTACAACCCATCCCCATTCCACACCACCACGACAAAAGTTATTTCGGGTTTGGGCAGTTTTTTTTCTTTTAAATTTTTTTTGTTTGCCAGAAATTTCCAAGCCTGACATGTGGACCCCCCAGGAAAAAAAACATCCTGGATCCGTCCCTGTCATGTATTTGAAGAAAGTTTACTTAAGAAAGTGTTTTCTCTTAAAACCCCCACATTTATCAACATTAAACATAAATGAATTATATATATGAATATATAAAAGAAAAATATGCTTTTACATCCAAAACACTGCCTAACAAAAATGTGAATGTTACATCCTATGTAAGGTTAGCATCTTTAGGATCTTGCTCAAGTCATGTTGAACGTATTTTACTAATTCAGCACGTGTCCCTACACAAAAATTCAAGGACTTTTTTGAATGCATATTTATAATCAGGAATCTTAATTATTTCACGCGTTTTTGTTGAAGTTTAATTCCCACCTTATCTTTATTGGTAATTTCAAACACATCTTCAAGGACATTTATATTTCCCAAACCACGCCAAGCACCATTAAATTACACGTTCCTAATGAGAATAATGTATCTTAGATAATGAATTTGCTATTGAAGTTGAGCACAAAGGGCCAACAATACTCGATGAATTTAATGAAGAAAATATTATGTCTTAAAGAACTAAAAGTGCTCCATTTCTTCGTATCACTCAAGTATTGCAATATTACGTAACCACATTATTGTGCAGTGTTTAAAGAACCTTGAATAGATACCATCAGTTTATTATATCTTCTAATTACAAGAATTGTTATGCATGTATCTTTCTTCTTGACGTTAAATTCTTTATTCACTCGAATTACATTTTATTTATCAGATGATCAGAATATTGATTTTTTGGCAATTAAAAATTGGCAAGATGGTTAATTGCATTGATAAGAATATTTCTTTTTTTGTAATTATCTAAATAAATATTAATTTATGGTTTTGTTATTAACGTTTTTTTTTTTAAATTTACAGTTGTGTTCAATTTATTTGCACTCTGCATATACGCCGGATCGTTCGAATCTATATCCTACGACATGATTCCGAAATGGTCTGGGGTGTACGACATGACCTTGTCGTGGTCTTTCACCGTTGGATGCATTGGAACGTGTTTATCCTTGATAGGATCAACGATATCCATTTATGTTGCTTTAAAGTTTGGAACGAATGTTCACATTTCTACAAACGTTTCTCGAGTTCCCCCTCTGCATGTTCATCCGCCACCAAGCAGTCGGCTTTCTTCGCCACCTAGGTTCGGGACACCTCGGGTATCTTCGCCACTTCCGTTCAGCACCAAAGCGTATTCGTCCAATTCTAAACGGAACATCACACCAGTGAACATTTCATGATAGCACAAGTCATCTTATTCGAAATTTAGCAGTGACTTTTGTCTTTGTCCTTATGTTATGGTCATGTCTATCTATTCTGAAGATTTTGTTAGATGTGTATTATTCTGAGAATGAATCCAAGCAGCTTTGATAATTTTGTTAAAATAAGTATAGCTTTTTCAAAAAGCTTTGCCGTCTTCAGCAACAACCTTAAACTGTAAACTGACATATATCAAGCCGTATTAATTTTTGAGTACTGTAGTTTTTGGCTTTGTACTTCTTCAACAGCTTTTCACAGATATTAGTCCTAACATATAAACGAAGAAAAAAGAATAAACACACAATTCAATGTTTGAATACACAAAAAGAACTTTCTGTTAATTATGAAAATATTGAAAAACTTCATAATAGTTGTTATAAAAAAATTTAAAGTGTCAGTTTCATTTACTGCAATTTTCTTTTGTTAAATCGTTTTCTCGATTTTGTTTAAGATTGAAAATCTTGAAAAATTGTTAAGTCGTACGAAAATTAGATCACCAGAAAATTTTTTCTCTTGCAAAGCACAGTATTTCAACCAATGAAATAATTGAAAATTTTCACATCATGCATTTTCCGCCAATCACAGAAGAGAGGACGTGCATAGTCCGAATACTGTAATTAAAATTACTTCAACTCTGTATATCGTCTTCCAAGGAAGACGGTAATTAAAGTGTCGTCATTTCTACAAAGGAAAATAATTGTTATCCGTTATATTTCTTTCTCCTGTCACAAGAAGTTTAATTTTGTGGCCATCGGTCTTAGTTTTATACAATTGTACTGTATATCAAATTTTATCCTTCTAACCATAAGTGTAACCCAAAACGATTTAATTTGACTTCCTTGAACGTTAATAAACAAAAACACATGTATATGCTCAAAAATAGGTGTATACTGAATCTGTTATCTTTTCACAAATTTTACAAAATTTTCTTTTAAATGAAATTTATGGAAAGACACTATCATTGTGTTAGACTTCCCAAGTTATATAGCCTCCTTTACCCAAACTCAGTATAGACGTATAAGAGATACTTCCAGGATTCATTGGTCTTTTTGAAAGTTTTCTACCATCTTCAGCTCTGCATATTGTATTATTTATTTCTTTGGATTTTCATGGAATTCGTGAATATCGAACCACTTATATAATGTATCACAAAGAGTTTCAGCGAAAAGTTTGCATACAAGTAGTCTTTATAAATGTGAAACTTGAAACTTTTATTTTCACTAAAGCCCCCACATGGGGTATGTTAGTACAATAAGAGTTTAACAACTGAACAAATCAATATGTGAACAATTAACATAATGAACTACAGAAAGATCTTTGATATGGACAGCACTGACGGTTGTATAAAAAAAAAAAATCGTTTAATGTTTACATTGTAGGAAGTTCAGGCATGAAATAATTTAAGAACAGTTTTACAAAACTTAGCTAAACCTATTAGTTCATATGTGTCAGAAGTATTCATCAACTTATAAAAAAGATATTGTGTTTGGATTTGTGTAAATATTGCTAGGTATAAATTTCTGTCTTTCATTCTTAAAAAAAGGACATTTAAATAAATAATGAAACTCATCACCAAGTTCATTGTTATTGCAGAGGTTACAATGTCTCTCAGATCTATCAATACTATAAAATCTACCAGCTTCAATTGGCAAGTTATGACTGACACAACGAAATTTACATCATTTGGTAACATGTTTAGATAATTTTCAAAACCAAAATCACAGTTGTTCATTCTATAATTAAGGCATTTTGGAGAATTTAATACATTTACATATTTGTGAGAGCAGTGACGGTGTTCGAGGAGTTGTCGATCTTTTACAGTGATATCTGTGTCATGTCAACGCTGGCATTTCAGCTCTACTAGGATTGTAACATGTATTTTGCACTGAGGTGCATTCATTCTTAAGATTTATTATAGTTTCCGTTTTGAGAATATTTAAAACAATATTTTTCTATTTCATACCCATGATCTTTAAAAGTGGGTTACATGTAACCATGTGTAATGAAACATTATTTCAACAAACTTATCTTTCTTTCTTTCTTTGTTTATTGTTTAACGTCCCTCTCGAAAATTTTTCGCTCATATGGAGACTCCACCACTTGCTGATGGAGAGCTACAAATTTTGACCTATATTCGGCACTTAGGGCCAGTGAGCAGTGAGGGATCTTTTTCGTGCCAGCACCTAATGTGACACGAGACCTCGGTTTTTAAGGTCTCATCCGAAGGACCGGCCCCCACGTCCCGCAGGGGTATTCGAACCCGCGACGTAAGGAAATTTATCTTTGTTGTAATAACAGTAACTGCAGAACAATTTAACAGGTCTAATAAATTCATATTTTGATTTGGGCTCACAGAGAAATGAGAGGAAAAATGTGTACAATCTCGTGCCGTTTAATGGGCAAAAGAACTGGAAGATTTATGATGATTATGTATGATAAAACAGCATCTAAATTAATTATTCAAGCTTTATCACAATAAATCCTCAATAAGTATACACGTACCTCTCAAAGTGAATTTTATCCAATACATAATCTTGCCTGCCAAGGAATTGCAAATTTTGCAGCCGACAGCAAAAAATAATTTCAATTTCAATTTCTTATTGTTATTCCATTTTAAAATACTTTGTTTGAAGATTTTTCTTAGAAAGGAATGCTTTCATTGAACAATCTTTTCTGTGATGACAAATATTAATTTTATTTTACATTTTTTTTTTAAATTTAATTTTATTACGTCTAAATGACATTTAATTGACCTAAAAAATTTGATGCACATGTCGCACACCCTCAAATTATAACATTGATAAAAACGGCAAAAAATTAGAATGGCTAAAGAGTTTAGGATATGGGATTCACTACGTAACAGACACCAATGTAAGAAATTAACAGCATCAAGATCATCAAGATGGCGATGACGACAATAGATGTGTTCAGAATATGTTGGATGCAGAAAGTCAGGCGAATTTTTTACCAAGATCTTCAAGATATTCAACTAGAATTTAGACACTCCGAAGCTTAGACATTATTTAATTATTACAGTTAGTAATGCTTAAAGCCCTGTATCAGATTTTGAATTTTCTGCATTAAACTCTGCCCCCTCCCCCCCCCCCTTCCGGGTGAAAAACGAAATTTTTATACTTAGAGACTTGAGCAAGTCTACTAATTAACTTTTTGTTCTAGATTTACTATTGAAGACGGTTCCTGATTTTGTTTGAGTCTATTCGTCACTTTCTAATATTTTTTTTATTGTAGAAAACGCTGCTCCCTTTGATACTTTTGATTAAACCAAAATATCTATATTTATTTACAAAATTCAGGAATGATAGAAAGATCAGTAAACTTAAGAGGCGGAATAGAGAGATTTTGGAAAATCCAGAGTGCAATGTATTTTTAGCAAATCAAATTAACAGTATTCTAGCATATACTTTTAATGAGCTTACCACACGTACTTATATATTGTACATCAGTTTAAATGTCAGTTTAATTGTTGATTGATGTACATGTAATTAATCCTAACTGACAATTAAAAATTGTGAATTGTACATGTGACCACAAATAAATATTTCGTCATATTTAGTACACTGCATAACAGATAATTTTCAAATGCCTCAAAGATGCCATTTTATAATTTATGTAATTTAACATACAGTGTACAAGCTCTTGTGGATGCAAAGTTCTGCTTCAAATCTTAGATTTTTTGGCTTGAGATTATATGACGCCTTTTGAATAAACATCGAAATATCAAAAATCATTTTTGTCCTAGAAGTATATATCACGTGAACACCCGCACTTCCTCGCATTACTTTGCGATATACGTTATCACTGTTAAATTGAATCAGTTGTTTATTATATACAGTTTTTTTTACAATCCCTAAAACTTAATCAAAGAAAATCTAATTGTAAAACATATCGATAATATTCACCGGTATTTACAAGCGTGGAATTTTTCGCTGTTAGACTGTCGAGACGATTATGAAATGTTCAATGGCCGTGATAACTCCGAATAATTATTAGCAGAGAATATTTTCTACTTTACGCGGTGAAGGTTACGAGATCAGTAAGTGCTCTGGTATAATGATCTGGAATGCAGTTAACTTTTCAGATATTGAAATATTTAGACACATCAAAGAACAATAATGCATGGACTTGCCTTCTAATTCAGTACCGTGTTTTGGATGTTATACAATTAAAATTACATTTTTTATGTAGTAAGAAAAAAACCCGAAAGATTTTTGCCAAACCCTCAATCAAATGGGAGGGGGAAGGGGGGGGGGGTAACAGAAGATTATGATTTATAATAACTGCCTTTAAATATAGCAGAACTGAAAATGATAATGTACCTAATATATCATAGTCTAAAGAATTAGTATTTTAAAGAATAAATCGATGTCATATCTCTTTCTAATTACAAATGCTAATTAATATACACATACATGCAATATTTACAAGGGAAACAGTGTTATTGTGTTTCATGGAGACTGTTAACGTATGTTGCGTGCGTCAATATCAGGAGAACTAAAGGGAACCACTTATTTTCACATACATCAAAATTTGAATTGATAAATATTATTACAAGTAAATTGCCTTAAAAGAAATGCATGCATTTTTCATGCATTCTGCTTTTATAGGGGTAGTTCAGGTCAATGCGAAAAAAGGAAAAGCACCAAGAGGAATGCAGAATCATTCTACATGATTTTTCCATATCCCAGACCTAATTTAGTGTCTTAATTACAAAATTGAATGCACAGGTGCAGTCAATGTTTTAATGCATATACACACCATCGTAATTAAGAGAAAATAATTATTGCTCTGAAGTTGAAGTAGTTTTCCACAAACGTCTAATCTCACACTTCTGGGTATATTTTCTTATTGTGTTCACTTTATACTGTTCACGTCAATAAATCCCAAACCATTGCGATTGATACGTTCGAAAATGCTTATTTTGAATTAAAGTCAGTCTCTTTGAGGAAAAAAAAAATAATGATTCAGAAGTGATGTAGTTTCTGCTCAAAGTGCTGTAGTACATGTAAATTAAACAGTCATTATGGGTTTTTTCCCCCCGATTTTTCCTTTCAGAATTAAAACTATGATGAATATTCATATTTTCTTTATTGGTTCTCTATCTTTGAATGAAGAACATGTAATAGTATCAGAATAAAATTATTCATTTTCTTTGGCTTGGGGTGAATATAATTTTAGGAACACGAATTCCATGTGTCATAATTCTCCAGAATTATGATATTGAGGAACGCT